CTTTGTAAGGTCCAGGAGGGGGTGAGCGAGGTCGGAATAATGGGAGATGAAATGACGGTAGAAATTGCAGAATCCCAGGAAGGATCTGACTTCTTTTACCGTCGATGGAGTCTGCCATTCGCTGATCCCCTTGAGTTTTGCCGGGTCCATGGCAACCTGTCCGGGTCGGATGATCATCCCAAGGTACTCTACCTCTTGGGAGTCGAAAGTGCACTTTTCGGGTTTGAGGAAGAGTTGCTCCTGACGGAGCTTCTCTAAAACCCTACAGGTGCGCATCTGGTGTTCTGCAAGGTCAGAAGAGAATATTAGGATGTCGTCCATATAGACGATCAGCCATCCTTCATCTATCTCCTTGCTGAACGTCTGGTTCATGTAGGCCTGGAACGTCGCTGGCGAGTTACAGAGCCCAAAGAACATCACTTTTGGCTCGAAGAGCCCAAAAGTTGTCGAGAAGGCTGCCTTCCATCTGTCGTCGGGGTGGATCAAAATATTGTTGTATCCTGAACGGACGTCCACTTTGGTGAAGTATTTCGCGTCTTTGAGTTTGGCGATGAGAGGCGGAATGAGTGGAAGTGGATATGCGTTCTTGATAGTCCATTCGTTGATGTATCGGTAGTCCTGACAGGGGCAAAGGGAGCCGTCCTTCTTTCCTACAAAGAAGAAGCCGGAGGCTTGAGGCGACTTCGATTGTTGGATAAAATCTTTCTGGATATGTTCGTCCAGTAACGCTTTAACCGCTTCTGTCTCTTTTGGAGAGAGAGGGTAAGCTCGGGAAGATTTTGGGATGAAACCTTCCTTCGTTTTGATCCGGTGGTCTACACCTGGTCTCGATGGGGGGAGCTTGTTAAGCCCATCCTTCGCGAATATATCTGCGAAGTCGTGAAGGTATTCGGGGACGAGCTCTTCGAATGGTTTCTTCTTCGTTTCTTGAGCTTTGTCCTTGGCGAATTCCTGCACCTTGTTACTGGTTTTCGTGTACTCCTCCTTCGCCGTAGCAAGGATCCAAATGTTGCGAAGGGGAGTCTTCCTTGTCTTCGTGGTCTCCATCTTGGAGGTTCCATCCCTAGTTAGGGGGGTATCGAAGGTGAGGTTCTCGATCAATCTGACCGAAGAACCATCGGCCGAGTATTCTATAAGAATCTCGTCGTCAGTCAGAGGGTGAGTCGCAACTTCCTTGACTTCGGGTAGGGGGTTGATCTTCCCTACCCAGACGTCTTCCATGACGTCGGTTTCTTGAGGCATTTCGAAATGCTTTTCTTCGGCGGGTACCTCCTTGGCAGGTTTTGCCTTCTTCGTCTTCTTTTTCTTCTTTTTGCGTCGAATTTCTTCGAGTATGTGTTCCGTACCCAGGGGGAGTGACTTGAGAGGTTTGAAAGGTGCCTCTTCCTCGTCCTCGATCATAGGTCTGAGACCTTCGAATCGGTAGGGGGTTACCCTGTTCCTTCTTCGAATCTTGTTGAGTAGATTCTCAATGTGTCTGGATCTGGGTGTGGGGAGCATTGTGATTTCGTTGCGTCCCCAATCGATATCTGGTTTCATGGCGGATAGCCAGGGTTTCCCTAGCAAGATATTGTCTCGTTCGGAAAGTCTAGTGACGTTAAACTTTCCCCACATAGTTCATCCATCGAGCCGGACGAAGAGTATGCAGTATCGGGTGACCTTCCCAGCAGTGGATTGACTTCCATCTACTGTGGTGATGCGGAAGAATTTCTTCAGGAGGTGGGTTCTAATATTGTGCTTCTTTACGAAGGTGTCACAAATAAATGTTCCCCCAGCCCCTGAGTCGATGATGGCTGTTGTTGCAACAGTTTTCGTACTCGTGGAAGAGAAAAGTGTCACCAGGACACGGAATTCATTTTCTTTTCCTACAGTATGAGTACACAGGATATCTAAGGAGGGGACGCACGTTGCTTTTGCGGTCCTCCGTTCTAAAAATCCTCTTCTCCTTGGAGCCGGTTGGTCTCCATATCGTCTTCGGAGTTTTCGTCGTCACGCTGGTCTCTACCAGTCGTTACCGGAGTCTTTCCTTTGGTATCTTTCTTCTCTCCACGTCGTATCTTCGGGTGGAATCTGGGATCATTGGCTCTGTGGCCATGCTCTTTGCATGAGAAGCAAAGGCCCTTCTTGTAGCATTCGTCTTTCTCTGCCTGAGAGAGGGTGCGGTCTACGTCCATAGTGTTAGGGTCTCTGGATGATGAGACATTAGGCTTGGGGTAGTATTTGGAACCGCGAGGGGCGTATCGGGTGTGTTGGTTACGGGAGTTGGCAGAGACGGCCTTGCTCCTACGGTAGTTAGCGTCGAGCTGTACCGCAGAAGTGTACCATTTTTTGATAGTGTCAGGAAGTGTCTCCTTCCTGTAGATTGCTTCGCGAAGGCTTGGGTTCAGGCCTTTCTCAAAGAAGTGTGAGAGTGTCACGCCTTCCTTGATATTGGTGATGGTAGCCAACGTTTTGAACTTCGAGATGTAGTCCGTAACATTGTTTCCCATTCTGAGTTCGGCGATTTCGGTGAGGGCATTCACCTGCTTATCAACGGGTTGAAATGCAAGGTTGAATCCTTTCTCGAATTCTGCGAACGTTCCAAATTTCGGAGGATTGGTGCTGAAAGCTTCGCGATAGAAGTTATCAGCCCATGCTTTAGCGCTGTTCTTTGTCATTAATGACAGGGCGACTGAGACCATGATCTGCTCGCTGCAGGGTATGCTTCGTCAGCGAAAGGATCCAGCCAAATGTACTGGCTTTGCTGAAGCGACAGGTAGAGGGCGAAAGGGAATGCGAGGATGACGAGGATGACAAGGGTAAGGTCAGGGTAAGGGTATGATGCGAGGGCTGATATGAGGAGGATTAGGAGAAAAATAGTAGGGGCCCAAGCGTCTAGATGTTCTTGTAACAAGTACAGGAGCGAGAAATGTCGCTTTAGCTAAGTCAAACAGAAAGATAGGCTTGACGCCATGAACCATAAAATAGGGCGATAGGCCTGTTGCATGATGAATAGTAATGCGCTCAGCCCAGAAAACAGAATGAACAACTTGGTACCATTGTGAATCATCACCATCACGACTTTTGATGATGGCCTCCCGGACATCGCGGTGTCATCTTTCAACTATACCATTCACCTGGGAGTTATATGGCAATATGCAAATCGGGTCCTGTACTTTCGTGCGAGCTCATCTACCACAAGTCTGTATGTGGGCCCATTGTCGATCACGATCTCGGTGATCAGACCCCATCTGCAAAGGAGTTCTTCGAAAATAAAAGTGGTTAGCATTTTGTTATTTTCCTTGTGCAACATGCGCCATTCTGGATATGACATGAGCACACAGCATGCTTGCACACAATACTCGAATCCACCAGCTCTGGGCATCTTCATTGTGTCTATGTGCACTTTGCAGAACAAACCTCCTGGTATTGGTACTGTTGGCAGTGTAGAGATTCGCGCCTCCACAGACATCCTCCAAATTCTCCCACTTTCCTTACAAACTCCAGCTCTAATCCACAGGATATGTCTAGCACATTAGCACACTTATTTTATTTTGCAGATTTCACATGCGGCCTCATGCTTGCATTGTCCAAATACCTGTCTGTCCATCCATCCCATGTCCTCAGAAGTCCATTGGTATGTTTTCCCATCATATTCCCTTTTTGTTTAATTGTTTCCCATCACTAATACTTGGTTCTGTGCTTTGCATGTAACCGAGACCCTGTTACATACTTCATGTACTATTTATAGCCTGTTTGGCTCGTCACATCGGACCTGCATGCCTAGTGGCACTTACCTATTTCACCCACACCCCTCTATTACTTATGTACTGGGTCGATTTCCCACCCACTTTCTCTGTGTCATTAGATACTAGGGAATTTTACTTGTTGTTGCAAGTGACTATCTAAGTCTTGCGCATTAGTTGTCTGCCTTTTGCCTTAGTATCAGCCAACCTCAGTTGGGGTGTTAACAGTCATCTCTCCTCATCTCTCCTCCATCTCTCACACTCATTCATCCTTTGTCTTTGCTCACGCACACTACCTTCACATCATGCACCTCGCCTTTCGCACTTGCATGTCTGTCCATCGTTTATCGCATCGCTCTCACCTTGCATTTCGTGCGTCCCTTAGTCTTTATATCCTATCATTAGTTTGGTGTCCCTCTTTCTATAAGAGAGGTTTCCCTTTACCCAGACAGCTGCCCTTGGGTCGATGTTTTCACTCGCGCCCGGGTAGGGAACTGCATGGGTAAACCCGTGGGTGTGCGCAGTCGGACCCATACCTGTACCCGGAGATATACCCATACCCATGGTGCGGGTATCAGCCAAACGGACCTGGGGTATTACCCGCGGGTCACTACGAAGAGCATTGTAATGAATTGTAACAACAAATGTAATACTAATCTACTTGGACTCTGTCCCAACCCTCATTCATTGCTTCCTCTTCGCCAACGACATCTGGGAGCTTAGACGCGTGAATGATATCCTCAGATTTGACCAGGCCTAACTTGTTCCATAAGCCGACACAAAGCAGTGCACGTGTCGACTGCGCCAATAAACGATTTCTGACATGTGACAGGACAAGACGCCCACGACTGAAGAGACGTTCAACGTCTACAGAAGTAGCTATAGGCAATGTAAGCTTACAAGGCATTAAACATAATAATGCCACATACCAGGGATAGTTAGATAATCAATGGCCATGTGTGACAGGTGGGGGAATAATTTGCAATGTTCTTGCCACCAAGCGATAGGGTTGGTGACATGTTCCACATCTGTACTAAGGTAACGGTTGAGTTCGGAGCCCAAGTTAGTAGGTTTGGGGACTGCAAGTGCAGGGAGGTTGTCAAAAATGTTGTCGCTCTAAGATTGAGTCAGTACAGACGCTAAGTAAAAAGCAAAAAAGCAAAATACCATCAATATATTATCATTTGACTCCAAGACATCCGCCTCATGCCCCAAATCAGAGTCGGCATCAAGGGACAGGTATGAATGTTCGAATTCCTCACGCACAAGTTGCTCTGCAGTTTGGATCCAGTTGTCTTCCCAGTCTGCTGCCTTGAAGTATAATAGCTTGTGTTGGGGATGTAACACTAGTATAATAATATTAACCGTCAGTAGAAACTAAAAAAAACCTAGATTGAATAGAACTTACCCATGGAGATCCGATATGTGTGAGACCTGTCTGTGAGCTGATAGTACCAGTTGAGTGTCTTTTTTGCAAGCCAAACTGCTGAATGAATTGAAGGCAGATATTTCTTGTTGCGTGAATAGGACATGAGCATCTTGTCGACGTGATCCATTGCTGGTATCACCTTCGCAAGGTTAGGTGTTGCACGCGAGAAGTAAAGTGTGGCATCCTTTAGAATCTAACAAGAGCAAACAATATAACACAAGCATATGCGCCAAAGCGTCAAACAAAGAGTGCAAACCTTTAGTATATCACGCAATTGCTGTAGTATTTCCCACTCATTATCCTCCAACTCATACTTCTGTAAACCGAGGTCTCGCTGTTGCATAACGGTATCTACGGCCTCACGATGTTCAAGTGTGTAATCCAACATATCAAACGTCGAATTCCACCGTGTGGCCACATCGCGTGGCATGAGGGTTTGGGGTTCCGACAAGTCCTTGAGGATGGCATGCCATGCGGGAAGGATGATAGTAGTTGAATGTATGGTCTTGTATGCGAGCTTGCGCACCTGGAGCAATTGTGTTCAATAGTGAGTCCTCTTTTGTTGCACACACTTACTTTGACAAGTGCTAATTTGACTGGTCTTATCTCTTTGCTTAGTGCGGCCCGCTCTTTCTTGTCCAACAACTCAACCTTGTCAACAAAGCCGTCATCATTATCTACCTCGTACATCGTCCCTGTGTCCTCTTCCATATCTGTGCTAAGTTCTTCCAGCTCTATGTCAGTACTGTCAGTACTATGCGCCAATGCTTGGTCGGCCTCTCCTTTCTTCACATCAAATTCCCAGATCAACGATTTGGCCACCAGGTTCACAGTGTGCAGGAAACACCTAGTGTGAGTGGTTGGTCCACCGAATTCCAGTACCTTACTGCTCAGTTCACGAATCATGGTGTCATTGTTAGATGCATTATTGCAAGTGACGCTCAGGATCTGTGCAATGCGGTTTTAGTTGCATGTAAGTTTGTTCAATTTTTCTTCAGATCAATAGCTTTTCTGATATACCGAATTCTTCTAGCACTTTTGCAAACACCTCCACAAGCTCCTCGCCGGTATGTGACTATGAAGCTCTCAGCTCATATATATCTATATAGGTGAGTTTTTTTTACCTTCCCCACTTCAACAACGTCTAATGGGATGCTTAGTGGTTCCCCCTCGTGCTCAAAGTGCGCTGAAAATGCGACCAACGCACGATGGTTGGGCGATGACCAACCATCAGTAGTAAAGTTTATTTTACTGTCATATTCCTGGTGTGTTTTGAATATTCATTTTTTTTATTAATGATAAATACTTACCTGTAACATTGTAGCAACACGCTGTCGAGTTCGCACAAATACTTGTTGCACGTCACTCGAAACAGTGGAGGCAGAAGGTATGTAATATTCCAGTCTCCCTGTCTTCATCAGCGACTGAAATGCACGGTCCTTGACGATATCGAATGGACGCAGGCTCTCGGACACCCAGCTCACTATTTCGGCCCTGAAGGCAGATGTTTCAGTCCAAGACTCAGATAAGACTTTGTTTGTACTGTGTTTCTGCACGTGTATGTTGACGGTGTGAGTATGTAACTTTCCCTTTACCCTTACGCTTGAATGACGCAGTGATCGATTTGTTTCGCAGGAAACTACCAACTATATTTTCGCGCACCTCGTTGGCATCGTTGGCCTCATCCGCAGCTTTCAACACTTCATCGCCCCAGCACGAACGCACATGCTTCCGCATGTTACTGGTGGAGCATGCATCACCTTTGTCAAGGTATCGTCACACTTTGGTCTTGCAATTCCTAGCTTGGCACTTGAAGTTATGTGCATGGCGCCCATCAAGTTCAGTAATCTGTGGTGTCGGATTGAAGAACACGTAGACTGGTGAGTTCCAGTCCTTCATTGAGCATGCTGTTTGGTACTCAATTAATGTAATGTTCACATCAAGGCTTCTGCACATACCAAGCTCATCTTCCGCAGTCTCGTCGGCTTCCACCTCAGCCTGTGATACAGTGCTACCGGTCTCAGTTTTGTCTTCATTCATTGCGTTCTCTTCCTCCTCGGTGTGCACCAGGGCATGCCGACTCGAGACTGAGTCTGGACATGGAGACATGGACACTGTCTGTGAAGCTGTGAGCTATTTTTTTTGACCAGCTCATCTTCATCTGCAGACCCTACACTGCTGGTGGGAGTATTACCAGCCTGCAGGTTATTTTTTGCCTTCTTAAGGTGTGTGTTCACGCTATCTCCACCAGCATCGTTTTTCCACTTCTTTGATGACATTTTTAAATTCTTTTCTTCTAGAGCAGCTCTCGCCTTTCCAGTCATTTTGATGATGTGTTTCGCTGTGGCTGCAAAGTTGAGCTGCATGATGGGCAGCACTAGTGGGTGACGAAGGTTCACGGGTGGCGTGGTATGATTTTATATTTGTCTTTAGAGTTTGACAGTTGGCAGCTGTATAGTTTCGTATTTATGTAGTTGAATTTTACTAGCACCTGTTTGGCATCCGTTTGGCGCCCATTGTGACTGATACCTGCAGCGCGGGTACGGGTAGGGGTAGGGGTATCATGACCTCAGACCCGTACCCGTACCCCAGCGGTACCCCTACCTGTGACCCGTGCAGGTTACCCATACCCGCGCAGTTCCCTATATTTAATAGCAACATTTGTTTGAATCAAAAAAGTGGGTACCAGTAAAATAAGTGACATCAGAGCTTTCCTTTTTCTACTCAGCGAGATCAGTAATACAAATCAGACATTTAAGTGCAAAAAGGGACTTGAATATTCTGCTGATGTGGTATGAGTGCCCGAACTAAGTCTATTTGGTGGGGGAAAGATCAAATGTCCTACCAGTAGGTAGGTAGCTACCCAAATACTGTCAGAAATGGAATTTCATTGTATGGAGAAGAAGGAATGAACTAAGTAGGAAGAAAAGACAACGGTGAATATTGGTTGCCATCATCACCTGAAGCGATGATGGCTTTTAGCGAGCATTACAGGATAGCAGTTCCTAGAGCTAATTAGTCTTAATTTTGACGATTATCAAAAATTTATCTAAATAGCTCTAAGTTTGTGCGGGAGGGTTTTCCTCATGGAGGCAAAACTCTGAAACCACCAGTGTCTTATCACACATTTATTTGTAAGGGGCAGCAAACCTGCTTACAAGCGATGGAGGAACGTCAGTTGAAGGCAAATACTACTTTCATTCGATATTTATGCTACGTCAATAATGAAATTAAATGAAGAGACACACGGTGCATGACAGAGGAGAGTGGTGGGTGGGAGCAAAGAATATTGAAAGGTGCGAGTGAGGATGTGCCGAACTCGTTGTCGTTAGATCGAAAATGAATCAAGAGGAAAAACGCGTCCGCTCAGCTGGACTTGTAGCGGCGGGATACTCCCTGATACTCCGACAGGCTACATTACCCGGCACCTGTACATCACATCTGAGGAAGTGGCCTTACAGTAGCAGTCCAAACAACAATGTCCATGAGCTGCATAGTGTCGTGCTGTTTGTTCACCGTCGTGGACCATATAGCGAAATCCAAATCACTCTGGTCTTTCAAGGCCGGAAATCTGATGAGCAGTGATTGTCTTAGATCGGGATCGGTCCAGCAGGTCCAACCGATAGTCCGGATAAAATCTGCCAAGACGCAGGGCCTCCCTGCAGAATTGTTGGGATGTAAAGACCCTTTCTTTCGGATGGTCAACACCAACATTTCCCTGACAACCAGCGAAAACGGTACTTACTTGAGGAAGGCAACACTTGAAACAATGAAATTTTGGAAGTTGCAAGTCGGCTTTCCATCCTCGATAGCGAACGTCGGTAAGTTGCTGAAAGCGAGCACAATCTGCCTGTGTGTGATGACATGGTGCACCGACAACCCAGCAGACTGCGCACCGCAGCCCGGGAGAAAAAACATTCTTGAATGAAAACATCTGCTGCTTCATGTGTTGCATCTGGTCGGCAGATAAACTGGATACGATGGCCTGAAGCGTTGTAGAAGGGGCACTGGAGTTAGGGCCGAGCGGTTGGATGGGTTGCTGAGGGGGCACTGTAAGGAGTATAGGAGGGGCAGTATACTGGGGGGGCGTAAGAAACTGAGGGAGCTCAAGGCACAGAGTGGGTGCTGCCAGTGGGGGCAGAGGGGGCGCAGCGAACGGGAGTCGATGGGATACAGAAAGCTCAGGCTGAGGGTGCAGCGAGAGCTGGGATTGAGGGAGCGACGTGCACTCTGGTGCTAGAAGCATAGCCAGCGATGGGTCATGAATACTCTGCAATGTAGGCGTCAGGAAATCTAAAGTGTTGCGAGAGCATGGATAATACCTTGGCGACAGTTATCTGACAGATATCGCAAAGCTGCACCGTCACCATTTGAAGACAGTTTGAAGCCCTGCCATCAAAGAATAACGATAAGCCCAATCTCCTACACACCGGCGTGGAGAGCCATGAGGCTATCTCCGATACCCCGGTATCATCTTGACCTGTCTGTAAAGTAAAAGGCTTGTGCTTAGGGTCATAAATTATGAATGCCCATCCTGGTCTTCCGTCCCGGCATCCACGACCAAATTCTTGTCCGTAGTCCAGCATGCTGTTTGGCTTGCGCAGGTGAATGACCACTCGAATGTCTCGGATATCCAAACCAGCTGAGAGTGCAGACGTAGTGTAGAGCACACGGAATGAGCCAGCACCGGCTCTAAAGCTGTCCAAGGTTGTCTTTTTCACGTCGTCGGGTAACTCTGAATGGTAAAATTTAGTGTCTGAGGCCTTGGCCATTGCCTCAGCGGTTGCCTTCGTTTGACAGAACACAAGTATCTTATCCGTTGCTGGTAAATTGAGGAGCAGGCCCGCAAGCCATACGAGATAATTTTGCTCTCGCTTCTGTGCATCTCGAAAGCGTAGCGACGAAGGAATGGAAAGCTGACCGTCGACAATGGTGAAGGCATTGAACGAAATTTCCTTCCTGGTGGTATCGCCGCGGATAATCTCGGTGGCACCGGAGAGCATTTGAAAATGCTCCAAGAATCGAGTGATAGTGGCGGGAGGTAGCGTTGCAGTACATGCAACAATTGGTAGAGGAAGTTGACGAAGGTGTGGAATAAGACGCAGACATGGACGATAATGCTTGGAGGTTAAGGCGTAATGAGACTCATCTACGACGATGCGGGAAAGAGCGCCCTGCTGAACTCCTTCTCTGAGATAATCGAAAAACGACGGAGACTCTAGCTGCTCCACGGAAACAAAGATGGTCCTAGCGTCGTAGGTCCTCATTCCAGGGCTCCAGGTGATGGTTGCCAAGCCTTTCGCCTCAAAGCGAGCGCGAAGCTCATCCAATAAGGCCTTGAGAGGGACAATCACAACTGTTGCACAGTGTTTTTCCAGAATGCTGACCGCAGGCATCATGTAAAGAAGGGTCTTTCCCTCCCCAGTACCGAGGACAATGACCAGGTCCTTGACCCTTGCGCTGACAGCTTCTGAAGCGCGGGCCTGTTCTATGGATCTAAAGGTTGCGTTACGACCCATGAGAGATCGAAGTTCTTGAAAGCGCAAAGGGTTGATGTAATAAGGGAAACTTGGGCTAAACTCTTGGACTGACTGAGATGTTTGACGAAAGGCATATGCCGCAAAAGCGTCGGATATCGAGCTCACCACCAAGGGTGTTAGGGTAGATAGCAGAGGCATGATAGCTAATTCTGATTGCATGTGGACGTCAGTACCAGTGGAAAGCACCAGTTGCTGCGAAGAGGTGCTTTGCAGGGGGGCAGCGGGAGTGGCTGGAGGGAAGAGAAGGGCGTGATGAGCGCAGCTAAGGGCCACAAACTTTTGCAGGTGCTCGCTTGAGACGGATTGTACATATGCGTGGTCAACCGCATAGCCCCTTGCAACACTTCCCTGGTGTCCACTCTGTTCGTCAAAATAATATTCCAAATCCAAATCAGCTACAAGGCGTTTGCAGTTCTTGCGCATAACGCCAATGAGAAGATGGCGGATATCGGCCAGGCCCATGGGATGACCCAATCCACCCTCGGATACAGGTCTACCGGTATGGGCGATAAGGATGTCAGAGAAATCGTCCGAATCCCATGGCCCATGCAGCCCGTTGAATAGATGATCTTCATATCCAGCAGAAAACTGGAAGTCTTCCCCGTCCAGGCTGAGATAAAGAGCGAGCATGGCTAAAGTCTTGAAGACAAGAGTCAGCCACGGTTTGGAAATGCGACAAAAGTGGTCAGAACCTTTGGGACGAACGTGAGGTACGCTATCATCAACCGAGCAGCTTCCGGAGGCATGCTCCGCGAAATGACCCGCTCCTTCTCCTGGTTGGTCTGAGTCTTGTTATAGCGTGATACGAAGTTCAAATGGCCAGAAAACCAGTAGACGTTTCTAGGGTGAAGGTTGGTGTTTTGCCAGGCCATGACGGCCAGCTCAGTGCCTCGAGCAGGCTGTCCAGAACCCAAATGATAGAGAAGAAAAACCTTCTGAAGAAAGTCCTCGCAATCCCCTATCCAGCGCCTGATTTGGCCAAGGTTCCACACCACACCACTAGAATTGTGAGACACGACAAAACGCCCCGAGAACGTCGACGTCATCTCTTTCATCAACGCTGATCCATGTACACAAAACTGGTTCCTTCTGTCGGATAGGAACGAGTAGCCCGGTTCAAGGTTGCTCAAATCGTCATGAATGTGCTCCTGCTCAATGTTTGGTAAAGAAGCGCCGAGGAGAACAACTTCATACAGCTGAACCTTTGTCTCCTCCATGAGGTTGCGGTACAGGTTTACGAAGTTGGCGATGGGAATAAGTCGACCATCAAAACTGAGAGCAGAGCCTTCAAGATCTGCCCACATCATTCGGGGAAGCAGGGACGTGTTGGCCGTAACAAACGAGAGAAAATGTCCTATCTCCAGCAGGTCGCCGAAAAAATTCAGACAATCTTCTCGCAGCCACCTGTGAACTTCTTCAATCAAACTGTTCGTCGAATGAAGTCAGCCAGCAGTCGAAGACAAGAGAGAGGTAACACTTACGCCTGCGGATTGTTTTCCACAACAAAAGCGGGAGCATTTTGGAACAACAGACAAATTTGATAGAAACCTGCGGCTCTCAAACACCATCTCAACTCGCTCAAAAATGGGTTTATGTGGATAGGATCCAGTATTTGACCGGACAGCTTGACGCAGCTGAAGATGAGAAAGAGCCTGCCTGGACAATCCAAGGGCGTTGAGGGCGGATATTGGGTTGTCAAAAGTGCCATTATTAGGTTATGGGCAGCTGAATGAGCGGCCTGGCATTGATCCATGTCAGTAAGAAGCTGCTCGGCACAGCGCTGTATCTTGCTCCCCAAAGCCACTTTTCGAGCCGTAGAATTGCTGGTACGTTCGAGCCGACCGTCCCGTGCTCGAGACACAAATGCGATCAGCTTTGCAAACGTTCGCACGTAGCGCTGGACCGTTTGCTTTCGAAGTGGTGCTTTGAAGGGTCGATTATTGAGTTCATGGCTAGAACATGGCGCCGTCAGTCAAGGATGATTAGATGAGAGAGAAAAACGCACATGGATTTCGTGGTGTTGACCGCCCGTAGTATACGAGTCTTTCGAAATGCATTCTCGTCGGTTAGCAGCTTGATGATCTCGTCAAAATAACGTTGAAAACACGGCAAGATGCCGCTTAACTCGATTTCATCTTTCTCGGGCATCTTTACCCAGTCGATGATATCAGACGGCGACTCGTCCTTGATCACCTCTAGCCAATTATACTTGGCCAGAAAAGGGTTCAGGTGGGCTCTGTCCATAGGCGGTCCTAGGCGTCCCTTGTGCAGAGCGCGGTGCTGCTCGTAGAATGATTCTACCTGGGCGAGTAAGTCTTGAGACCCTGGCGGAGCTACATGTAGAGCAGAAGGGGAGTGAGGGACGACTACTGGGTACTTCCTTTGCATGCTGGCATAGAAAGCCTGCACAGTGCAGCTCTTCCAATTGTTGCGGGTGTTATGGAAGTCCCTGTCATGGACTTGGATGCGCTGCTTTGAGATAGTGGCGAAGCAGCAGCCCTGAAACGTGCACATATATCCTTCTTGGTATGGAATACCGGGAACAACGGGGCTGGAGTTGTCCCAGTCCTCGAAGCTATCCGACTCGTGAAGTTTGTAGGCCTCCAAGACCGAGATCTGTTCAGCGGTAAGGGCAGGCACATCGTGATGCTTCTGTCTGTGGGCAGAGAGACACTTGGTAGCGATGCCAATCTCACAAATTATGCATATAAGTAGTCCAAGGGGTTTATATATGACGCAGGCAGTCATGTTCAGAAATGCAGACGTAAAGATGGACGGATGACCATAGGGAATAGCAAAGATTCCCCTGCCATCAGCGGGCTGCGGACCAAAGACTTGAATGTCAGCTGGATCTGTGTGAAGGATTAATTAGTATCTCAAACGCAGGAAGAAATATAAATAATACTGACTCAGCACGGGCTTGGTCCTTGCTGGTGCTGGCTTAGCGTTAGGATCGACTTTTGTGAATTGAGATGGAGGTGGCGCAGTGACCTCAAAGCTATCATCTTCGGTCGAACTCCTCACCACACGCTGTGCAGAGGCTGCCGTCGATGATGGCTGCCGATGCGAGAGTTGCAGATCCCAATCAGCCGAGCCTTGAGTGCTCGGTGGCATGATCAAACTGTTGGAATGATGCCGAGTAAGTGGGATGGCAGGGGGAGAGGATTCAGGAAAGGTAAGCTGAGTATATGGATTTCCTAGAGGTGATGACGGAGCTATATCGTAGTCTTCATCTGCAGGTGCTAACAACGACTCGTCAATGTTGTCCTCTTCGTGCATCCTGTCTTCAGTGTCGTCTTCCTCGCTTTCTTCACATTTATCCTCGAGATCACTCTCGTGTTTAATCGGCTGCGTCTAAAATTTAGATCGCTTATAACCCAGACGGCTGGAATGTACTCACCCGTGCTTTCACCCATTTGGCCACCGAAGCTTTGTGTATTGGACCCCTTACTCTCGATCCATGATTGTGCATACTCTTATACATCGTGAATGTTTGGAGACACGCTGGGCACTGGAATGTGCCATCAGCCCGGCGGGCAACGACGACAGGTACTTCGGGATGCTCGACGAATCTAAACCGGCAATAGGATGAATGGAACTGCAGACGATGGTCATCCGCACTTTTAACATCTATGCAGCAGATGTCACAATAATCGTTTCTCCCCACCATTTTCTGAAGGTAGGTCACTGGCAGAAAAGAAAACTGAGTGTCGCGTCTTCGGAAACAAGCCTGGCGCTTACGTATCGCCTAAATTACGGCTGAGAATGTTTACGTTCTTCTGGGTTTCCATATATAATTCCGGCACATCACTGCGATCATATCCGGGAAAAGGCATGGGTGGCATTGTGCTAATCTAACAGCTTTATTGGGCACCAGCACGGCATTCCCTTCGGTTCACCTCGGCGTCTTTAAATTTTTATCGCACAACGTTCAGTTCATACCCAATGATACGGTGTGATGCGCGCGACGTACCCATGCGGTAGAAGAAGTTTGAATGTTTCCTTCCAGCAAGAGGACAGCCAAGGTACTCGTGTGGGCCAGGCGAGGGTGGTGATAGAGAACGATCTAAGAGGCCTGGTGAAGAGAATGGAGGTGAAGAACATGATAAGACGTCTCTGAACATAAGTTCAGTAGTGCAGGTTCATCTATAGCTGGAAAAATTATTTCAAAGAATGATGATCAAGAACAACGGTTAACAGACCTTTGGCACGGGCATCATCACGTCGAATCTCTGCGATATGGTCGTGATATAACCATCCAGCGCGCAACTATGTACAAACCGAGCATAGCAAAGTGCCCAAATCTAGCAAGGGTCGCTGACGATGGACCTTTCCCTTGCCAAAATTATTCACAGAAAGCGTGAATTGTGATTCGTGCGGTCAATGGTGGCGTGGTTAGTCTGTGAGCAAGCGCTTGGGATCTGAGTCTTGTGCGGATGATGCAGAATCGGAGTGAGAGTAGGACCACGAAAAGGAGAGGAAGACGAGAGGAAAGCCTGAGCGTCCTGAGTATGCTATGGCGCCTCGTCTCGCCTGAAAATGGCTTGAGAGGAGTAATCTGTGATATTCCATGAGAACGGCTAGTGAAACTTGAACAAAGATGGACCACACATACCCATGCATGAGCTAATATGTGCAATGACCGAACACACGAACGCATCGGATGAGATGCTCGTTCGATGAAGTATGTCCTGGGGCTGAATACGAATGGAGTTCATGTTGAATATAGTTTGTCAGATAAACACACCTTATCGTCTATGTCTGACAGTAACATTCATGACGAATTGAACGTTTTTAGCATGATCGTGATTCCTGTGAGTATGATTTTAGTAAGGAGATACGGTTGAGGAGACCGGGACATGCCTCGTAAATCGTGCAACCGTGCTTTTGCTCAGAATTTATACCGGCCCCGCCATTCGCATACCATACGATAAGGTACTAGATACCAGCTTATATCGAGATTCGCAACGAATAAGATCATATAACTGTGTTAACGATCGTCAGGAATATCAATAACTCACTTTGAACGCCGGAGGAGGGCTTTTCATCTATAGAGGGTATGGGGGGGAGTCCGATGCGATGGGTTACGTGCTGACTCATCTAGTCACTTACTGCGTGGGAATGCAAAGCTGCCAAATCGCTGAAGTTATCGGGTGCACCTTCCTGTAGTGAATTCCAACACTGTTATCTCGTTTCATGCGTCCTCGCCTCAGATTCAGTCCCTTACCCAACTCGACCAGCATGAATCCGATGCTTCACATTTTTCACAAAAGCAAACTCATTCAAGTTCGACGGCAACATTGTCCTCGTTATAATGCCCGGCTGCTGTTCATTATCTCGTCTCTCACCTCCTCCCTTCCATTCGTTCGGTAGGTGTCCTTGGACCATGCCGGACGAATCGGCCCTCAATTCGACGAGCCGATTCTTTGCTCGTCTCAGGCCGTCCGCGGCACTGGTGGTCTGTTTCCCTTCTTTTAGGCTGAGCCAGGCGAGCGCATGGTGGGTGCCTTGGACGCTGGATCAAGCAATGGTTTGGTTCATGAACCTGTCTTTGGCCCGATTGCTGGGGTAAGTGACTGTTAAGTTGATAAACTCGTTGACGGTCTGATCGTTGACCCTGGTTTCTTTGCGTGTCCCCTAGTAGTTGAGAGGCCAGCCGTCATACGCTCTGCGAACTGTGCACTGCGATGAGGTGGGACTGCCTGTGCCTCCGCGCCTACTCACCCTCGCATAGACACAAGGTCTAGCACCCAGGACACTCCCAATTTTTTGTAATATCATCAGGACATTCGAACATCTCAGTGGGTCCTTTTCAGCTAGAGGATTGATTACACTCCGGTCGTACCTCGAGATTGTTGTTAGGAAAAAAAACAATTAGGATGAACATTTCGGCGATGTTCACAATGATGTACTAAGGTAGAAATTGACCAACCACAGCAGTCCTTCCCCTACTATATCATAGATATCATGCTCTACCGCGTATTCTTAATAGCAACCAAAAAATTGCGGTCACGACGAATGTGAAATGTAATATGTTGCAGTAGGCAGTTGGTGGGCAGCGCTGAATATCAGTGAATCCACGAGTTCACAATATTAACACAAACTGCAAACATGACGCGTGATGGCAACTCGGCCACACGGTACACCACGGCCTTCCTTATTGGGCTGTTTTTTGCGGATGGGCCCGACAACACTGAAACAGACAAATGGCAGCAGGTCTATAAACAACTTCCCACTTTGAGTGAGCGCTACTCAAACCTCTATCTTCCGCGAGCGCAATCGATCTGTTTTTGTTTTCTTTTTTTTGTCGTGTCAAGTTGAGTTGTCACCAGTAGCTGGGGCTGCGGGTGTGAAAACATGATGTAGCAGGCGCCGAGTGAAGTTCCTTACAAAGGAGGTCTGTTATCTACAGCGAACTGGCGAGATATTTGAAACTTATGAGTTTGTCAAACCTTTTCTTTTTCCAATGTCTCCTACAACCATGTTCTCCCCAGGGCCTACGCTGCGCGGACATCATTTTACAGGGGTGCGAGGTCACAGGAAAGAGCGGCCTTGACTACTTTCAGGCGCTTGAAAGCGAACTGCAGGGGGCACAGACTATGCACTCCAGGTTCCCCGAGCCTCTGAAAGCCGCTTTCCTCAAGGCCATGCCGAGAATCAAGTCTCATCTTGATCAGTGCCATCTCCGCCTCACGGAATTGCTGACGATGACGCAGTTCAAATTCACAAGATTGGTGGAGACTTAAAGATCCCAGCGAAGGAAGGATTGGTCCGTGCTGACCCCCCTTATGTACACCTACAAGGTGCAGATACTTGAAGAGCAACACGAGAAGAGTCACGAGAAAGGAATGGCTGCATTGAAAGACAAAGTTAAATGGAGCGGTAGCTTTATGGATGTCCAGTGCAGCATCATGAGGTTTGTGGCCCTCGTTAACATGAACAAAACTGACCACGTCTTGTTGTAGCTGCGATCACCTTGCATTCTCAAAATCTATTATTCGTCGCTTTATCCGTGACTGTGTTGATCGTGATGCTGCACGTTCTCCACTGCTTCCACACAATGTTCTCATCCCACGCGAGGGTCCCATCCTACATGAGGCTCCTTTACACTGTGACATGCACGAGCTTCCCAGTCATCCTCGCGAGCCATCTGTGCCATTGCGAGAGCCTCTGCTTCATCGTGATCCCTCCGTGCACTCTTGTGATCCCTCTGTGCACTCTCGTGATCCCTCTGGTGCACCCGCGTGATCCCTCTGTGCACCCGCATGATCCCTCTATGCACCCTCATGAGGGACCCTCCTACCCACACGATGTTGCTCACTATCATGATGCGCACGACACACCCTATGATCGGAATGGTCCCCCTCACATCCACCCTCATCCTACTGGTGTCCTCAATCCCCATGGCCTTCCATGCACCCGTAATCCCAAAGAAGCTCGGTATGGTCGTGCACCTATGGGATACAACCATCCAGGTTATCTTTCTCGTTACAACTCACCTGCTGATGGATATAACGACCACTATGATGACTGCAGGCATCCACCAGACTCCTACTATCAAGATGTGCGCAGTCATGACAGGAGGTACTATGGAGATAATAGTAGATGGCCAGACCACCGCTGATACCTTTTGTGCTTGTTTTTTTGACTAACTTTTCTTTCTCGCCTTTTAATTTTGGTGTCTGTGCCTCTTGCCTTTTTAGTGTAGTGACTGTCATTTTGTTACCTCATGCTTCGCCTCAGATTGGATGTAGTGCCTCCTCCTGAATATATTGTGTTGGTGTTTTCGTGCTCGCACCTGATGAATGTTACATGCTGCCTCCTGAGTTTTTGTCCCCAATCTTTGGTTATTTTAAATTGACTGATTAAAATCAATTAAGACACGAAAAAAACACGCTATTGAGGAATCAAACTCAAGACTCCCACATGGACCTCGCCAACGATACGAGACACTAATACCACATTGCCATAAGACCTCAAAATGTGCAGAGCGCACATATCATATAATGGCACTTTGCATGCCAATGCTTCTATCAATCATCGGCACACCATCAGCTTCAACGACTTTATCACTTCTATTGATTATTGATGAGGGCACGCCTCCGAGTTATCTCAATGTGTAAGTTATTGATATTTTTCTTCTACGCTCCTCCCTCTCACCATATATTTGTTGCATTGATGGATTTCACGCAACTTGACTGTGTTCTCGAACGTATCACATCACGGCACAGGGTGCAAGCGCAGGAAGTGTTGGACAAGTGGTTGGAGAGACGACGGATTGGTGATCCTGATGGATGGAGGCTGCTTGACGGTATACCTTGCATTATTGGGGGGCTGACAGGACTTCTCGGTAAGTGTGCTCATCAGATCACAGGTAGAATAGCTAAATATGTTACAGGATCACTCGAAGGGCGAGGGGGCAACTTTCCCTGGAAAACGTTACCCACCATCCTAGCCCGTCGTGGCTATATCCTCGAAAACTACCCGGAAAACATACTAATGCCCGGTGAAAGACGTTCAACACTTGCAAAGAGCAAGGGCATACACGACCTCTCTATCCACGAGTGGCACATCCTTGCAGATGCCCTCAAGAATAATGCCCTCACCGTCAAAACTGTCGCAACAGACGCCCTCGAAAACCTCATGGCTTCACGTGTCCCTGTCATCATTGGAGAAGCGCCCTCCACAGATTCTCGTCACACTCGTGGTCGACAAGGGTTTGCTGATGGACAGATTGATAGGCTTGGATTGAGCCATCTGGGCAATACTTCTCCTCCAAAATCTTGTGCTGTGTCGTCTAAGCGGCGGAGACTTTGCGTGTTCGTAGAGGTACCACAGGCCCCACCCTCCTGGAGGTTGAAAGCGATACGGCGACGCTCACTAAACTTTGGACCCAACTATAGCGACCTTATCCCACAGATTACCGCCATCAGGAATGATGAAGTGGGGGTTGGCACTATCAAGGATGGTGCTATTGATGATGAAGAAGCCGCCAATGATGCCACCACCAAGGACGAAGAGGAAATTGACGAGCTTTTTGCGTCACAGGAAAGGACGTGATCTGTGTAAGCCTCTCGAGCCTCCATTCAACCCTCGCAAACCTCTATTCAACCCTTGCAAGCCTCTCTCTTCAACCCTCGCAAACCTCTCTTCAACCATCGCAAACCTCTCTTCGACCCTTGCAAACCTCTCTTCAACCTTCATCACATCCTCACGAGCCTCCCTTCCGCGGCATGTACTAACCATCAGCATCTGTGCACGTGATCTTGTTGATTCGAGTGTTGGTGTCGCGTGTTGCCTTTTATCTTACTCTTTGTCTCTTTACCGCTGTCTGAGATGTCTTCCCCGCGCCTCACAAAGTCACATTCTCGAGTACAATACATGTTTGCCTGGGATTCGTGGTTATGAGATTAGGAGATGACGAGGATAGATGGCCTGACAGAGAGGGATAACGGGTGTGTATTTTCTTCGTAGTTTGAATGTGTTCTTGTATCCCTTTCGCGTGCATGGCTTTTCTTCATGTTGTTAGTCACTGTCTCTGTCCGCCTTTCACGTCAAATATATTGCCTTTCGCGCAATTGGATTGATGTTCACCAAATTCCAACATGTATTGCAAAACATATAGATCAACTATTTTAAACAGCGAGGGCGCACGGCCTCGCGTGGTTGGTTCCTACCCTCGCAAGCCTCTGGGAGCACGGAGACAATACACAAAGGAAAAGGCATGTACCTCTTGCGGCAATTACAGGGAGCCTCCGTGGAGAGGCATACCTCACAGGTGGGTTCCCTGCAACATAGAAACCCCACCTGATAGACCGTGAGACGGGCGCTTAAGTGCTGCCAAGGGTGGCCTTAGCAGGAATAGGATGTTTACAAAACGTACATTACACAGAGTTGACAGCTCTTCGGTTTGTTCACATCATGTAGGGCTCTCGAGAGACATTGTGACCAGAAGATTTAGTTTGGGTGCTGCGTCTCGCTTCAGGAAGCTTTGCACTTGTGTTGAGATCCTGCTCTTAGTGATTAGACAACGACAATTGTCGAGATTTCTATTACTTACAGAAAAGTGTTTGCGCATACCAGGAGCGATATGATTCCACCACTTTATGAATGAATTCTTCAGGGCTAGTTCCCGAACACCCTTATGGTTTAGCCAAGCGAGGAACTCGTCAAGCTGCAAAGCCAAACGGTCAACAATGGTCAACAAAACGACAGCTAAAGGAGAATACCTCCTCGGGCTCAGCATACTGTGCCCACTCGGATGGAGCCAACATTCCCTCTGGCCCTTCTTCTTCAAGCCTCTTAGCTTCATAGTCATCATCCTCCTTCTTTAACATCAACTCCAAGTCCATCACGCTCGGACCCTGTATAAAGATTCGACCAGCTTCGTACTGGACGACGCCTCCACTACCCAGCAAAGAAGCAGATCCCATGCCGTCGAACCACCAAATCTGATTATGGAACCGGTCCTTTCCCAATGGTTTGACTCGCACCGCACCAAGTAGCTTCCTGAACTCTCGTTCAATCACCTCTAATTGACGCTCGAGCTTATTAACCTCTTCATCGAGTCTGCGATGTTCTGCAAGTGCTTGCTTCGCAGAGGCTGCTTGAGCGCGAGCAAGCTCTCGTTGCTTCGCATGTGCCTGAGGATGGGCTTTCTGACGAAGATCTTTCTGACGCGCTGATCTCTTTTGGCGAGCACTAGAAGTTGATGCGGTCTCCGAGCCATCTTCTGAAGGAACGTCCGAAAGATCACTGGACTCATGCATCGTAGTATCTTCGTCTGGAACGACACTGTTGGTCCCAAGCTCCTTCACCTCCATTTCCCCAGCAAGGGAATTCATTTCCTCAGTGCTGAAAAAGGACGTTGAATGGAAATACCGCTGTGCGCCAAAGCGAACGCAACACATAGTAACGCTCACTGGGTGAGGAGTGGACACTTAAGATGTTTGCGGCAGGACTTGAAACACGAGAACTTGACGATGAAGACAAAGCTTCTGCATGTAGTTCCGGGGCAAAGAATAATCTTGTCAAGATTTCTCGTAGACGAGGAAAGTTGTCGAGTGTGGCATGCTATCAGAAATGAGCATCGAATATGAATAATAGGCTGAAATCACTTCACATCTTTTAGGCATCCTAGAAGAGCCTCCTCCCACCCGTCTCGCATCTCATTGTGCCACAAGGGAATCCATTCCCAGTTGTTCCCTATGTCAGCCATGGCACCAGCTAACTCATCGATTGAAACACCAAGCACTCTATAGTCCCCTTCTGGTGTATCTTGGATACGCAGTAACAACAGGACGGCACTATGCCGAGTAAATGGCACTGTGCGTAGGTTGTAAATGAGCGTCGAGTGAATCTCTCCTAGTAGTGCGCAAGGCGGGTCTACGAGAGAATGCCGCAAGGCATGTTCAAACTCATACATTGTAAATGTTGATAAGTGGAGTGGTTGCCTGCGATAAACTGTTAGATATTCATATGCAACTATTTGCGACTGTTCACTTACCCATAAATGGCCAGGAAATTCCATGCCGTTAAAAATGCTTCAAAAGTACCCTGATTCTCGCCAAACGGAAGTCCCAATTTACTCAGCCTTGCGGTCCTGATCCAGGTGGACGTGGAAGACATCTTTGGAAAATAATGTTGCCATTCGGTCCGCCTCGACTTCGGTGGGGCATATAACAAGAATTAGTTCTGTCTCCGTCGTGAGATCCTGGAGGCTATTATTGAGACAGGCTGACAACGGGCCTTCGAGATCGTTACTCAGAGGAGCCTCAAAAGCAGAAAAATGAATATTCCGAAGATCCGTCCGACCACGACAGAGCTGGGCCACAAGAGGATCCATTTTGAAATATGCCAGGAGCTTTGGGGTAGCTGTTAGGGCTATGGCGTAAGTGAGCAGGATAACAGGCAATCTCAGTCGCTGGAGACGCTCGCAATTAGCTATCGCACACTGATATTCCCAAGCTTGAAAAGCGTATTCTGCTTGACCGACGATTATCCTCGAAAGAGATCCCTTTGCATTCTCCAAGAAGGTCCAGAAGCTCGTACTCTCGAGGCTCTCGTAACTGACCAATATAGCTCGCGCACTGTGATTGCCGAGTCCTGGGGACCAGATCACCGCAGAAAGGTCTTTCCTTTCGAATTCAGCCTTGAGCTCTCGAATGGGCTCTAATCCTGGCAGCACGACAACTGAGATGAGACCGACTTCCTCTGGACAGACCGCAGGGAGCAAATAAAATAAGCTCCTATCCTCTCTCAAACCCAGCATAATGACGGCATGCACCTCCCGTCTCATGAGAACCTCCACCGCTTCTGCCTGTTCTAGAGATTGAAACATTGCCTGGGGACCCATGAGAGCCCGGAGGTCCCTGAATCGACTGGAACTAATACACGGGAGGTTCTTATTTGCAGCCGGGCCTACGGGCAATTGGTCGATGGGTGGGGTATTCAAAGAGGGTCTTGAGAAGGGAGAGCAGACAGCCATGCCATCAGCAATGGCGCGATGGATGATCGGGAGCATGGATATGCTGAGATAGGGTGAGATAACCCGGGAGAAAGAGTTAAAGTCAATCTGCTGCGTGTTAACATAGGATAAAACAGGAGGAGATGCGGGAATAGCTGGGGTTGCCAGAGGGAAGAGAAGGCCGTGATGAGCGCAGCTAAGGGCCACAAACTTTTGCAGGTGCTCGCTTGAGACGGATTGTACAGTGGAAATGCGACAAAAGTGGTCAGAACCTTTGGGACGAACGTGAGGTACGCTATCATCAACCGAGCAGCTTCCGGAGGCATGCTCCGCGAAATAACCCGCTCCTTCTCCTGGTTGGTCTGAGTCTTGTTATAGCGTGATACGAAGTTCAAATGGCCAGATAGGATCCAGTCTTTGACCGGACAGCTTGACGCAGCCGAAGATGAGAAAGAGCTTGCCTGTACATTCAAGGAGCATTGAGGGCAGGTGCTGGGGGCGTGGACAGACAAGAAGTTGGCTCCGACTGGTGTCTCGATCTGTCTGTAAAGTAACAGGCTTGTGCTTGAGGTTGGTGCGAAGAGATAAAAGTTTGAAAAAAGAACGATGGGGTGATATCCTGTACTACGTGATGTAAGGATTCATAGATACTGTTGGATTTCATTCTTAGTGATATGATTTGACATACATATATCTGTACTCAACATGGAAATCCCGCAGTTACTGAGTGCTTGCTCAACAAACTCGTCGACCATTCAGACAGACACAGGTGAGTCACCGTCATAGAATACTCCTGCAGTATTCATTACTCCATTGTAGCGTTGACTGCTCTTCACTCTACCGATTCAGACGCAACATTCGACCGCTCTAAGTCGCTCACCAAACCACCCCAATGTCACAAGCTTCCACATCATTCGACCTCTATCTTTGTCGTCCTTCACTCAGCTCGACAGGTTTCCCGCCTGAAGGCGGTCGCACCTACGACCTTGTCAAAGACCTCCTCAAATCAGAGCTCGAAGGCCACGTCATCTTCGAGGCCGACCTGAACATTCAATGGAGTGCTAGCATTTTCCACCAATTGGTTCTGAAATCTTCGTTGAAGATCAAGGATGTTACAGGGATCACATACTACGGCCGAGATAATGGGCCACGGGTGTATGTCCGGGGCGCGTGGAGCTTCAATCGCCAAAAAAAGCCTAAATTTAACGATCAGACCGACGATTCTGGGTCAAGCGACTACAATCATACATCCACCAACACAGATACATACGTTGACACAGATGCTGAGACCTCAGATCCGGGGATAACCTCTCAGGATACGGACGCCACCTGGAGCCGCGATGAATACGATGGCACCCCAAACCTAGGATCGAAGAGGGGACGTAAAGCGTCATCGACCGAGAAAGACTTGCAGTACCTTTTCAAAGCCATTCAGTATGCCCTGCGCCGTAAATCGCACATTCGAGCCAAACTTTCCTTCGAAATATCGGACATCGAACGATACTGGTCTGCAGAGTTTTCTAACTCACCGATACCAGACCCCTATAATGCACAAAAGCCTGACCTCGCTTTATTCTATTACAAGAGTAAAGCTTGCGTGAAAGCGTGGACAGACGTCCTGAGCTTTGTCGAGCATACGTACTCTGACTTTGGCAAGAGGCGTGATTTAGGAGTGTACTGGGGGTCTACCAATAAAGCTTATCTCATTATGCGAGACCAGCCCTGGCGTCGCTTCGTCGTCTCATTCTCTATATGTGCGGAACAGCTTCGCGCCCATTATTGCGACCGCTCGGGCCTCATCATAACTCTTCCGACTCCCATCCAATCGTGCCCCACCGATGTCGTCGATACAATAGCTACCCTCTCGTTAGCGGATCCGAGCCTTTTGGGTCTCGACCCCACCATCCATATGTGCATAACTTCGTGCAAGGGCACTCATACCGACCTAGTAGAGGGGGCAATCGGTTGGGTAGATAACAATTTTAAAAGAAGATACACGATTATGGCTGTTTTGTGGAAGAGCCAGGGTCTATTTTGTCGCGGAACGGTTTGCTACCGCGTTTGGGATCCTGTAGACGGGAAGGAATATGCGATGAAGGATTGTTGGGTGACTGAGGCGAAGAGATACCACGAAGCGGACGTCCTTGAGAGGGTCAAGGGCATCCCTAATGTGGTCCAACTCATAGACCATTGGGATGTCCTGTTCAATGGAGAGCCCGACTGCACATCCCGCATCCGAGATGGATATGGTATCCTGCTTGAGAACAGACCGGACAAGAGGTTCTGTAACAGGTATCACCGGCGCCATGTCTTGAGCCCCTGCGGAGATCCGTTATGGGATTTCAGCTCCAGAAAGGAACTGATTTGCGCCTTTCGTGACTTCGTTGTCGGTGAGTCCAGTTTAATGCGTTTGATCTGTCGCATCATCTAACATTTTGACTATAGCTCATGAAGCGATGATAAAACGACGAGTTTTACACGGAGACCTTAGCCCAAACAACTTCATAATCCATCACGGTATCGGGTACTTCATCGATTTTGACCACGCGTCAATCATAAAGGAAGGCGAAACATTCACAGTCTCGTTCGGTACTGTAAGTTCGAACGTGATGATCCTGGTTCTCGCTGTCGATCGCTGATCTCAATTTTTCAGGGAACTATACCATATATTTCTATGCGCATTTTGAAGAAGATGTCAAAGAACGCCGACATCATCAAGAAGTCCAAGACGAACACCGACGCAAATAATAATAACATTAACAGCATCACTCAGCTGGAACTGGTTGAACACAACCCCAGTGACGACCTTGAGTCACTTTTCTACATTTTTTTCGAATTCGTTTCGAAGTACGGCGGGACACACGGTAAACTTGCTTTGACTTGGGATAAGACGAATATGCCGTGGGCCGATGCCTATGAGAATTTGGGCGGTACAAGCAGTTTGCTTGCCACATTTTTGGCGAAGAAGGGAGCTATGTCTGAAGGTGATATCCTGATTGATAGGGTATCCGACTACTTTGCAGACTTCAAACCTATCGTTGACGAATGGCGCACTCGAATTAATCACATGGCGTCAAATGCCGAAGAAATCATCGTTCACGACCATATCTTTCAAATGCTTGTCGGATTCATTACGAAACTTGACAGTAGTAAAGAAGAAACCCCATTGGACTCTCCGCTCCTTCCTGTAGCTCCTTTGAGTGCCCCAACTACTCATCGTACCGGGGCTCCCCCCGGGCCTTCCCTACGACGTTCATTGCGACTCAGCACAGGCCGGACCTAACAATACAGCATGAGCTGACGCAATTCTGATGCCCCTTCCTAGAATATCCTTCATTCGACCTCGCCCATACATCTTTTTTCTTCTTTCATGCTACCTTTCTTAGTACAAGCGATGGCCTTCGGTCGTTGCGATTTAAGGACACCATTACAAAAGTAGACTTTTGTACTCAATATTAGCCGTATCTTTGAATACTGCAGGAGTATTGTATGACAATGACTCACCTGTCTGTCTAAATGGTCGACAAGTTTGTTGAGCAAGATCTGATTGCGGAATTTCCATGTTGAGTACAACAATATATGTATGTCAAATCATACCACTAGGAATGAAATCCAACAGTATCTATGAATCCTTGCAACACATCATCAGTGAATTCATGAGACCTTGATATTGTAGCTGTGCAAACTGTAGAAGTATATAATTTTGCTCCTGCAAAATATGATCATTTATACTGTTAAAATTTTGATTTGTAGATACATAGCCATAAATGCCAGCAAATTCAGAGTGAAATCAGCAGTGCACGACAATGTGATGATGTTCCCGCATTGCAGCCAACGAGGGGTTGGTAGCATACCGGTGGCAATCATTTTGAGCATTGTTGTTTGGTCTTAACTTTGCTTTGCATTATAACTTTATTTAAGACATTCTTGTGGAAAGCACCTTTAGCACTGGTCAACAAATGTAGAATAGTGTGCGACTTCATAGTGAAATCATGACCTGTACCAATGAAGACTACCATAGGATGAGACTGTTCCCACGTCAAAGCCAAACCCCTATTCCAAGCGATGGTGGACCAGGGACCTCACCAACTTACAGCATGAGGTAGTGAAACTAAGTCACTGTGCTTACAAGCTGTGAGGCAATGCTGACCATCCTGTCCATGAGGAATTCTGTGTAAGGCGCAAACAATATGCTGAATCTATCAAACAGACCAAGAAGGAGCACTGGATCAGTTGGCTCAAGGAAATCAAAGGTAATGATATCTGGATCACTAACAATTACCTTACAGTGGCCTCTGGTGAAGGCGGACACTCTACTAGTAGAATTCCAACTCTATGCTGATCTGACAGATCATTTGCCAACACCAATGAAGAAAAAAGTGCAGCCTTAGTATGCACCTTCTTCCCACCACCACTGGCCACCTCATCAGTTCCAACAGATGCCATATTCCCTGACCCAGTTCCAACACCAGCACCTATCAATGATACCCAACTTTTGAGAAGCATCGCCAAGCTGAGCCCTTACAAGGCCCCCGGTCCTGATGGAATTTGCAATATCATTTTTATTCGGTGTATGGAGCTGCTCAATCCATACTTACTTCATCTTCTTAATGCAGTGTTCACCCTTTGGACTTACTACCCACCATGGTGAGATTTTACCACAGTGGTGCTGCGCAAGCCCGGCAAACCAGATTACACAGTCATGAAAGCTTATCGGCCAATTGCACTCCTTAACACAATATGCAAACTCCTCACAGCCATTGTTGCTGATCAGATGACATACCTACTTGAGCACCATAACCTCCTACCAGAAACTCACTTCAGCAGCCGACCCGGCAGATCCACTACAGATTCGTTACACCTACTTGAAGCAACCATCAAAGATGCATGGAGGCAGGGCAAGGTAGTATCAGCACTCTTCTGGGACATTGAGGATGCATTTCCAAATGTTGTAACTGACCACCTGCTATTTAACATGAGACAACAGAGACTACCAGACTCCCTATTGGGTTTCACTGAACAGTTATGAACAGGGCATCGCACTCAGCTCAAATTTGACGGCCACCTCTCTGAGTGGTTGGTGATCCGAAATGGTATAGGCCAGGGTGATCTACTTCCAATGATTCTGTACATCATCTATGACTCAGACCTTGTAGACATAGCAAAAGGGAGGGGCAAAGAGGAACAGACACTTGCTTTTGTTGACGACACAGCATTTATCGCAATAGGGAAAACCTTTCATGAGACTCACTCCATTCTTCAGCAGATGTTGGAACGACTGGATGGCAGCTACACCTGGGCGAGAACTCAAAATTCCAAATTTGAAATTCAAAGTTTGCATTAGTTGACTTCTCACTGAATCTGACCAAGGAACACCCACCTCTCATCACAAGAGGCACAGTGATCACCCCAACTGCTACCCACTGCTTTCTAGGGGTCATTCTGGACAAGACACTACATTGGAAAGCCCACATCACCTATGCTCTAGTGAAAGGAACAGCCTATGTATTTCAGCTGCACCATTTATCTTCTACCTCTTTGGGGATGCCACTCTCACTTATGCATCAATTATATTCAGCAGTAGCCCTACCCAAGATGCTCTATGCAGTGGACCTATGGTTCTGTCCTTTATTCATAGGGGATAGTGACATGCCACAAAGAGGTTCTATAGGTGTAGTAAGGCACCTAGCTAGAGTTCAACACATTGCCGCATTAAGTATCATGGGGGCCATGTGTTCAACAGTGACTGACACTCTGGAAGTGCACACCAAACTACTTCCTGTCAAACACAGACTCCAGAACATATACTACCAAGTAGCCATTTGGTTAGCAGTGCACCCCCCATCACATCCCCTATACATGCCAGTGCAAAGAGTGGCCAAGTGATATGTTAGATGCCACAGATCCTTCCTCCACCATCTATACCATGCCACCAATCTCAATGTGACCACCATGGAGACCATTACACATGATAGACGCCCCCCCAGTTTCCGAACTCCATACTGTACCACCATTGCTGAATCTCGTGACCTTGCTATCCAAGACCATGACGACAACACAGATGAGATTAAGATTTACACTGATGGTTTGGGCATAGACAGTAAAGTGGGTGCAGCGGCAGTCCTAATGCGCAACAGTCAACAGCAACCAAAAATTCTACATTATCACTTGGGATCTATGGACAATCACACAGTATACAAAGCTGAAGTGGTTGGTCTCACTCTAGCAGCACAACTACTTTCTATGGGGGATGATATTAAGTACCACGTCTCTATCTTTGTTGACAATCAAGCCACAATCAAATCTGGTGATATTTTCTCAACTAAATCAGGCCACTATTTAATAGATCACTTTCACAGACTGATAACAAGCTTAAAGGAAGAAAACCGCAGTCATCACTTTGAAGTTACGGTTAGATGGATATCAGGGCATGATGGTGTGGAGGGTAATGAACTAGCAGACCAGGAGGCTAAGAACGCAGCCAAATTGAGTGCAGCCCCAGCAGACAACTCCTGCCCTACCTTCATAAAGAAGTACTCCCTTGCAGCATCTCTGCACTAAAACAAGTGCAAAAATGTGAGTCCTCTGAATGCTGGGCAAGCTTCTGGCTCATCTCTCTTGCTAGTCATCTACCAAAACATCATATTAGCATGCTCATGTGGCTCCGCACCAAGCACATTTCCTTCAACCAACACCACCACCACATCAGCAAAAGCCCCTCCCCCAACTGCCTGCACTGTGAAAACACTGCAGAAACAGTTTTGCATTACCTGCTCATCTATCCCCAATATGCAAGGGCTCACCATGTTCTAACCTCTACCCTTTGATGCTGTGCATCCTCTATACCCTACCTACTCTCCAACCCCAAAGCAAGTGCACCACTCATCTGTTTCATCAATAGCACAGGCCGTCTGCGATCAACCTTCAGTGATGCTTCCCCCCAAACTCGAAATAACAGTTGATGACCCAATTTTAGTAAGAAACACTCCTCAAAGACACATCTCAATAAGTGGCAGTGCAGGTCACCACTTACCACTCTCTTACTCGAAGACAATGGGAGCTGAACCCACCCTGGCAGTTCATCAGGAGTTCTTAGGAGCATTAAACAGGAAGGCAGGGAGAACAAATCATCTGCAGTGAGGTAAAGGAATTTGTATACATCAGAGACAATGGTTTAGAGTCATCTGGCCTACCTACCCTTCTTACTTTATTTTGCTCTGTGCTCCATATTTGCCTTCATACATGGTATCACATCCGAGTACTTGTTTCATCCACAGCCAATGACAAGGACCTATTCACCACGTTGTAAAGAGTAAATCTCTGCTGGGCTCAGCAGAAATTGTACTATGTAGTCAACACATATTTAGGTAGATCTTTGCATGACCTAGTCTGCTATACTTGCACAGCAAGTGCGTTCGATCCTAAAGGGATTGCTAATTGGTATTAGTAGTAAAATGCATCAGTAATGCAAATAACAAAATATCTGAAGCTGCGAAACGATGTCCGAAGGTAATCCGATGATGTCTGAGGGTACTTATCCGATGTCCGAAGCCAAAGTGCAATGTCCGAGATTTCGGACTTTCGGACTTCACGATAATAGGTCAGAAACTTTACAACAAGTGTTGGATTGTGAGCGATATGTGCAAGTATAATGAGTGACAGAGTATGACAGTGAATGAATGGTAATATTTCGCAATGCAACTAAGAACTACGAGAATATTCTGGGTGATACGCAGAGTCGGGAAACAGCTCCTGACTACTGGATGATAATTGCTATGGGTCACTACAGAGTATTTAAGTAAGTACATAGAAATCTGGAATACTATAGGCGAAGGTAGTAGCGATATATTTCGCGTCCAATGTCCTATGTAATAAGACACGAGGTGCTGCGGATATGTAATAATGTGGTCCAAATGTCAGGAAATGTGCACGGGAATATTTACGCACCTAGTGAGGCTAGTTTGGAAGGACAAGGACATGGGATGGACAAATGCGCACAAAGTGCAATTGGCTGATGCAATGTCCAAAGGTCCGATGCGGAGTGGCTCAGACATGTGCGGAAGTGCATCGGACATGTGTGCATATGTTTCAGGTGTTGATGTGAGTATGAAAATATGTGGTTCCAAGCCCAACACCGCGACCATCGTTACAATGCGAACGTGCCATGACTGTCAGGTTTGCCAAATGCAAAAGCTTCATATTCCACCAACAGTTCTGATACCAGGAGGTTTATTCCGCAAAGCGCACGTAGACACTATGAAGATGCCCAGAGCAGGCAGATTCAAGTATCTCGTGCAAGCGTGCTGTGCACTCACAACGTATCCCAAATGGTGCATGTTGCACAAAGAGAACACGAAGACACTAACTGCTTTCATTCTCGAAGAACTTCTTTGCAGATGGGGTCCGATCACTGAGATTGTGACCAATAACGGACCCACATACAGACTCGCAGTAGATGAGCTTGCGCAAAAGTACGGGATTCACCTGATTCACATCTCGCCCTACAACTCTCAGGCAAACAGTATAGTCAAAAGACAACACTGAGATGTCTGGGAGGCCGTCATCAAAAGTTGCAATGGTGATGACTCACAATGGTATCAAGTCATTCATTCTGTTTTCTGGGCCGAGCGCATCACTATTCATCATGCGACGGGCCTATCGCCTTATTTTATGGTTCAGGGTGTTGAGCCTATTTTTCTGTTTGATTTAGCTGAAGCAATGTTTCTCGCTCCTTTGCCAAGCCGAGGTGCATTTACCACCGCTGACCTTATAGCATGGTGCACGTGCCAATTGCAGAAGCGCGAAGCCGATCTAGATGTGATTAAAGATCAGGTAGTCAAAGTGTGATTCAAGTCTGTTTGTGACTTTGAGAAACACTTTCACGCATCTATCAAGTCTTATGACTTTGAACCCGGCATGGTAGCTCTCATCCGCAACTCAAAATTTGAGTACGAGCTGAGCAAGAAGACCAAGCTGCATTATCTCGGACCAATGATGGTTGTGTGGCGCATGAAAGGAGGTTCTTATATGCTCGCTGAGCTAGATGGTGCAATATCGAAGCTTTGCTTCACCATGTTTTGCATGATACCATATTATCCGTGCAGTGAAGATCGCGTATCCATCACCCAGATGACTGGAATAGACAACAAAAGTATAGATCATTTAGAGACTAACAAAACCATAGAACCAATGAAGACAAACCCGAGCGCATGGAAGCTTCGCTCATTGCGTACTCGCATATCCGCACCCCTGCATTCCCAAATCCTGACTCTCGCTCCAGTACATATCATTCTGCAATCAAAAAAGAACAAAAAACACTACAAAAATAAAGAAAACACAAAAACACAGTCTTGCTAGAAGTATTTACTCTCAGTTTTACCCCGGGTTTTGTCCGGCAACCTCAGTTTCCCTCTTGCATCGCATCATATATCCTGCACATTCACTAAACATAACATAAACACAGACTGTATCATATTGCGCACATCACACATAATAACCGTAACAGTATATACAGATAAGTTCTCCTATTTGACTCACACACGCATAACCATCCACATAGACTTTCTATTTTGAATGTGCAAAGCCGCACAGCGCCCCTTTTTATATAGACCTTACTTGATCATCCTAATTGCCCCAAGCAGGAATAGACCCAGACAGCCCAATGAAGAAGACAAGTTGAGCGCGAAGCTCATGTGATCATGCCTACACCACTAAAATATATCTCTTTTGATTCTATCTATGTCACTCTCACTTACAATTCCTATTTCCCTTATATCCAGGCCCAATGGACTCTTTGGACATGGATGGGGACTAGGACTTCACACGAAGATTACACGGACTCATATTTGGTGCAATGCGAAACCACTAGATTGTACAATGTGCGAAGATGGGAAAAGTATAATACAGCACATAAGCACGTGAGGCGAGGCAGATTATAGTATGTGCACAAAGATAGCACACAGAAGAGAAAAGAAAAGGCTATATATGTCTATCTACTTCCAAGCATGCTCCTGCCCTGCAACAACCTCATCCATTTCCTGCCCCATCACCCCTCAGTCATCCGAAAATGTGTACAGGCAATTGCTCATGGCGATGAGCTCCTGTTGCTGCTTCTGTGCCTGGTAGTTGATGTTCCTCATGAACCGATCATAGTCTTCATGCGAGGTGTACAGCCTGTCCACCTCCGCCTGGAGTCGCTTGTTGTTCGTGCAAAGGCATATGAGTTCGGAATTGTCAGCCCTCACCCACAAAGGTCCAGCAACCACACGCACAGGCAAAGGCTTCACCAGCCTAGGCACAGGGTGCGCCTTCTTCGGCGGTTCCTCAACCTCTACCTCAGACTCGCCGGAGTCGTCGGCATCATCAGCCATGGTCGGTTTGACCATTGGAAGACATTCTTCGGCCACACAAGGTACTTTGCATAGCACCACCACAGCCTCGGATGCCTTGCATTTCGTAGCTATCCCAATCATTAGACATTCCAATTAAGAGAAAAGAAAAGACCACTTACTGAAGTTACATGCTCGGTGCGAGCGTTCACAAGGACCGCAGCACGTGTTCTTGCCTTGTGTGCACTTGACCCTGCGCTGCACGCAATTCTTGCAGGGAGAATCAAGTATCTTTGAACCAGTGGACATGCACCCACCAGCCTTCTATCAACATGAATCAAGAGTTAGCCAGATGCAACAAAAAGATAGACAAGCACTCACAGGTTTACCCGTGTCTGGGTTCTCCTCCCTCTCATTCCCCTTCCCTTTCTCCTTAGCCGTGTGTGCCTCCACCACAATCTTCTCCGCTGCCGCCTTCTATCCACTCACCGTCTTCCTTGCCACTCCTACCCACTTGTTCAGCTCTCATAGGAGCTCCTTTTCTTCATTGCCTATGGAAAACAATGTCTCAGCTTCCAGTGCATCACAGGTGCAGATGCGTGCATTAGCCTAAGATAAGTAAGTCAATGTGAAGTCAAAGAAACACGAAGATGCATGCCACTCACCTCAAAATGTGCCCACTCACGGAGCCACACTTCAATATCCTCCAATTGTTCTTGAAGAAGCTTGGGACGCAAGCCTGACAGTACAACCAGCGATGGGAGAAGCACGTTCCAGAGGCGTAACACGCGGTTGCCATCAGACTCGATGATGGGCGCAGGCTCAGGAATTTCTGGAGCCAGCTCCTCAAGCACAAGAAAGATCGAAGTTTGACATGTTAAAAAATGCAAGGGATTATTGCGGTTAATGTGAAAGATGAGAAGAACAACATTTGCCACATAGTGCTCTTTTAAATGCACTAACCACAAATTATGTCAGCATTCACACTAATTCCCAAAGTCATGAGGCCGACCACTGGCACTTCGTTTTCGGAATATGGACCACAATCACGTGACCTTACTTGTCGACATTTCTCTAAGTCCATCTGCGCGAATGCACACATGCGCTGACTGGGGACAGTCAGATTTTAAAGTCTCCCGCTGTTGTAGAGACTCACATCTCCACATACACTCCCCTCAAATTCTCCCATCTTCCTAACAAACTTCAGCTCTAATCCAAAGGATATGTCTTGTGCAGTAGCACACACTATTTTGCAGATTCCACATGCAGCCACTTGCATCTCGCATACACCATGCGCCTGCCTTTGCATTGTCCACATATCTGTCTGCCTGTCCTCCTCATGTCCTTAGATGTTCATTGGTGCATTTTGTCACTATATTCCCATTTTGACTAATTGTTTTCCATCGCTAATACTTGGCTTAGCGCTATGCGCGCAGCCGAGACCCTATTACCTACTTTGCATACTATATTTGGCTTGTTCGGCTAACTACATCGGACCTGTGCGCCTAGCACCGCTTACCTATTTTAATTATACCTCTCTATTACTTATGTACTGGGTCAATTTTATGCCCACTTTCTCTGTGTCCTTAGATACTAGGGAATTTTACTTGTTGTTGCCAGTGACTATCTAAAGTTGCACTCATAAGTTGTCCACTTTCACATTAGCATCAGCCAACCTTAGTTGGGGTGTTAACACTCATCTCATCTCGTCTCTCCTTTGTCTCTCTTGCTTGTTTGTACTTCGCCTTCGCTCGCACATGCTACCTTTGCATTGCGCACCTCACACTTTCCCTTTCACACTTGTATCTGCATATCGTCAATCACATTGCACTCGCCTCACACTTTGCACGTCTCTTAGTTTTATTACTCTATTAGTAGTTTGGTGTCCCTCTTTTTACAAGACAGGTTTCCCTTTACCCAGTTAGCTGCCCTTGGGTCAATGTTTTCACTTGCGCCTGGGTCTGGCTGTGTTTGCTTAGCTTAGCACCAACTTTGACCACATTTTAGATTCCTCATCTTCAACGGTATTACACATGATATGATAGAGTCTGTGGTTTTGTTATGTTCAGCGAATGCATGCAGTATATGATGGGATGCGAGAGAGAAACTGAGGTCACTGGACGAAACCTGAGGTAAAACTGAGAGTAAATACTTCTAGCGAGACTGTGTTTTTGTGTTTTCGATGTTTTTGTTCTTTTTGATTGCAGGATGATATGTACGAGAGTGAGAGTTAAAATTTTGGGAATGCGGGGGTGTGGATATGAGTGTATGCTATGAGTGAGCCTTCACATGCTATTTGTTATGCACGTGCTCAGGTTCATCTTTATCAGGTTCTATAGTTTCATTAGCTTCTAAATGGTCCATACTTTCATTGTCTATTCTGGTCATCTGCATGATGGATATACAATCTTTGCTGCACTGAATAATATGGTATCATGCAAAATGCAGTGAAGCGAGGCCTCGATATTGTGCCATCTAATTCTGCAAGCATATAAGAACCTCCTTTTGTGTGCCGCACAACCATCATTGGTCTGAGGTAGCACAGCTTTGTCTTTTTACTGAGCTTGTACTCGACTTTTGAATTGCAGATGAGGACTAGTGCGCCAGGTTTGAAGTCATAAGACTTGATAGAGACACAAAAGCATTTCTTGAAGTTGCAAATCAACTTGAATTGTGCTTTGACTACCTGATCCTTAATTGCATCTAGATCTGCTTCATGGTTCTGCAATTCGTGCATGCGCAATGCTATAAGGTCAGCAGTGGTAAATGCACCTCAGCTCAGCAAAGGAGTGAGAAACATTGCTTCAGCTAAATCAAATGGAAAGATAGGCTTGATGCCATGAACCATCGCGTGATAAATTGTTATGTGCTTGGCCCAGAAAATAGAATGAACAACTTGGTACCATCGCAAATCATCACCATTGCAACTTTGATGATGGCCTCCCAGACATCTTGGTGTCATCTTTCAACTATACTGTTCACTTGGGAGTTGTACAGTAATATGCAAATCGGGTGAACCCTGTACTTTCGCGTGAGCTCATCTACTGTGAGTCTGTATGTGGGCGAGTTATCAGTCACGATTTTGGTGATGGGACCCCATCTGCAAAGGAGTTCTTCAAAAATAAAGGCAGTTAGCGACTTGGTATTTTCTTTGCACAGCATGCACCATTTGGGATACAATGTTAGCACACAGCACGCTTGCACAAGATACTTGAATCCGCCTGCTCTGGGCATCTTCATAGTGTCAATGTGCGCTTTGTGAAACAAACCTCCTGGTATTGGTACTGTCAGTGGAATATGGAGTTTTCACATCTGGCAAACCTGACATGTGTGCATACCACTTAATGTCTTCGATGATGTGTGGCCACCAAAAGTGTAGTAGCAACCACATGCGCATGTGTAGATGCCTTTATGTTAGTTGTGTGGTGACTTCACACTAGATGGGTTGAAGACTTCTAAGACTTCAAAGACTTGAAGGACACTTCAAGGACATTACTATATTAGTAGATAACTTCAAGGACTTCAAGGACACTTTGAGGACAAACCTCTAAGACCTTGAGGACACATACCATACTAGGAATTGTTTATATTTGTTTACATAGACTCGCCCATGGTGCAGAGTTCACAAGTCTTACATGCTTCGTGCATTGACTTTGAACTCTCAGGTATAGTACTTTACTTATTCACACAATAATATCAAGTGCATTGACTTTGAACTCTCAGTTATTCTAACAGGTTATGAGCCCTGCGCTTTAGCAGTCAAATCTGTTGCTGGAGTTCACTGTCTTTGGGCCAACATAGTGCGCATTTTCTCTCCTCTCGCATCCAGCCACTGGTACACTCTCCCCACCCATTATTCCTTGCTCTCTTTGTTGAAAATCAGCAAAGACAGCCCTTCCCTCGAATTCTACCAAGCCCTTGCCCTTAATTCGTCCCACTGCTGCAAAACTGTGCTGTCTCCCTCGCCATGCCCTCAGAAGACTCGAAATCTATTCACACTGTCACCAAACTCACTTCTACCAACTATGCTACCTGGAAGGGTGAGATGAAGGCCTACCTTCGAGTCAAGGGTCTCTGGTTGCTTGTCAATGGCATCAAGACTCGACCTACAGAGACAGAAGCTGCAGCAAAGTGGGACACCAAGGCAGACAAGGCAGCTGGGGAGCTGTATCTGGCGTGCTCTGTAAAGCAAAGGACCCATATCGATGCTGTCCAGGATGACCCTGTCGAGATTTGGACCACCCTGGCTTCCACACACCTCCAGAAGCGTCCTGGCGCGCACTTCAATGCCTGGGACGACTTCTTCTCTATTAGGAAGCAGCCTGACGAGTCCTTGAGCACCCTCATTGCCAGGATCGAAGATGGCATGTCCAAAGTCCAGGAGCTTCGACCCTCAGACCCATCCAAGCCTTACACCATCAAGGAACTCGACCAAGAGCTGGTCTGCATGACCATGGTTCGTTCCCTGGGCGAGGAGTACTCCAATTTTGCGTCGTCTTTGATGCTACTCAAGTCCTTGGACAAGGAGGAACTGAAAGCAGCATTTCTGGCTGAGGAAACCCAAAGGAGGAGACGTCCTGAAGGTTCTGGGACCAATGCAGCACTGTTTACTGCATCTGGAGACTGTAGATGCGGCACCTCTGTCACCTGCTGGTACTGTGAGAAGTCTGGTCACTGCACCCACAAGTGCAGGAGTCTTAAAGGTGATAAGGATCGTCGCAAGACCAAAAACAATGGTCGAAAAGGTGGAAGGAGCGCTAACAAGGCTTCTGAGGCGTCCCAATCATCGTCTGCAGCGTCTACACCCTCTCCCAACACCGCTGCACCCGCCTCCAACTCAACCACTGCCCAGAACACCTCCCAGAGCGCCCAACAGGTCATGGAATTTGCTGGTAATGCAAGTCTTCGCACTTTTGACCCATCCCATCCACTCTGTCCCTTGCAACTCGATTCACATGCTGACTGGAATGCAGACACAGGTGCTACCTCTCACATGACCCCCCATCGTCACTGGCTGCGCAATTATGCGCCCAAATGCATCCCTATCAAGCTCGCAGACAACAACATAGTCTATTCAGCTGGTGAGGGCACAGTGGTATTCAGTCCAGTCATTAATGGGAGGCGTGTCGAAGCTGTAGAATTCACTAGAGTCCTTCATGTACCAGATTTGCGAAATAATCTACTATCTGTCCTATATCTAACTCGCAACATGGGGTTCACTGTGCTCATTAATGCATCTAAGATGTCCTTCGAACGCCCCACTGGTACCCCACTGTTTGTAGCCAGCATCAGCAACTCGAATGCTGCATTCCTGAATGGTTCTACTGTTGCATTAACTGAATATGCATCTGCAGCTGCAACTCTGCCCCTAGACTTTGACCTATGGCACAGGAGGCTCGCTCACCATCACCTAGAAGGCATTAAGATGCTTATAAGGGAGAAGCTTGTCACTGGGATGACCATAGAGTCGAAATCTGCACCAGATCCTATCTGTGAACCATGCCTAGCTGGAAAGATGCATGCAAACCCCTTCCCTCCTTCTGAATGGCGCGCTTCCAGGCCTCTCGAGCTTGTCCACACGGACGTGCACCAAGTCCCTCACCCCAGCTTCTCAGGATTTTGCTATTGGGTGTCCTTCATAGACGACTACTCCAGATTTAGGTTCGTCCTACCCATCAAATAAAAGTCTGATGTCTTTGAGGCCTTCAAGACATTCAAGGCTTATGCTGAGAACCAGTCAGAGCGAAAAATCAAGATCCTGAGGGACGACAAGGGAGGAGAGTACATGAGCAATGCTTTCTTGCAGTTCACCAACTCCTGTGGCATAGAACGGCAGCACACAGTTCGAGCACGTCCTCAGCAGAATGGTGTTGCAGAGCAAGCCAACAGGCTGCTCTCTGAGCGCATCACCACCATGCTGGATGAAACTGGCCTACCTAAAGCATTCTGGGGCGAGGCTCTAGGTGCCCTAGTGCACGTGTGGAACAGATGCCCCACAAGCGCAGTGAAAAGTGCCACTCCCTACAAACTGTGGCATGGAAGGAAGCCAGATGTCTCCCACCTTCGAGTCTGGGGTTGCACTGCCTATGTGCATGTCCAGAAGGACAAGAGAGAAGGACTCGGATCTCACATGGAGAAATGCGTGTTCATTGGGTATCCTCAGGGCTACAAGGGCTGGAAGTTCTACAATACCACCACTAAGAAGACAGTAATATCAGAAAGGGCTGATTTCGATGAAAGATATTTCCCCCTCTCGAAGCGACCTACTGAGCCTTCGATACCAGTCCCTACTGCCCCTACACCTGCACCAACTCACCCTACTGTCCCACCTATTCCATAGACACAAAGGATATTCCAAATATCTGACGATTCAGATGCTGATGATGAATCCAGCTCTGATGAGTATCAGGATCATGGGGGGAGCAATGGTCCTCCAGATGTGCCTCCTGCTGCCCCTGTAGTGCCTAATATTGATCCAGATCCTCCTCAAGTCCCAGCCTCGTCTCCAACTCCATCACCACCATCATCTCCACCTCCTAGACCTCCCTCTCCCATTGGCATCGGAGCCAGACTGCCCAGGCGCAATAGAACCAAGCCTAGAGAGTGGTGGAATCTATCTTCAGCCCAACTACACTCTGATGTCGATGATGAGATTGAGGACGTGGATCTTGGCCATGAGATTGTCCTCTCTGCAGCTTCACCAGCTGAATCGCTGTCCTACTCCGAAGCTCTGAAGCGCCCTGATGCGGAGCAGTGGAAACAAGCTGCCATAGGAGGAGCTGAATGCCCACAGCATCAATGGCACTTGGCAACTTGTTCCCAGACCTGCTGGAAAGAAGGTCATAGGCTGCAAGTGGGTGTTCAAGGTGAAGCGCAATGCTGATGGATCTGTAGAGCGCTACAAAGGCAGATTAGTGGCCAAAGGCTACAACCAACGACCTGGCTTCGACTACCTCGAAATATTTGCGCCCACAGTCAGAATGTCCAGCATAAGAGTCGTCCTAGCCATGGCCGCCATTCACGACCTCCACCTGCGCTCTATAGACATATCTCATGCCTACCTCAATGGGGAGATGGACTGCGACGTCTACATGGAGCAGCCTGAGGGATTTGTTGAAGGAGATGCAAAAGAGATGGTTTGCTTGTTGAAGAAGAGCATATATGGCACCAAGCAAGGAGGCAACAGATGGAACCAGAAAATGCGCTCTGTGCTCGAGTCTTTGGGCTACACTCAGTCCTACTCATATGCGTCCATCTACATCTATCTAAAGGACAATGTAAGGATCATTCTGCCAGTCTTCGTAGATGACATGACATTTGCTTCGAAATCTGCTGCTGCCATCGACCGCACCATCAAGGAGCTCTCCCAACACTTCAAGCTTCGTGATCTTGATCCCACTACTCAGCTTCTGGGCATTAAGATAGACAGAGACTGGTCTAAGCACTCCATCACCATATCTCAACAGCAGTACTATCTAGACATCCTCGAGCATTTTGGCATGGCTGATTGCAAGCCCATATCCACTCCCATGCAGCCCAACCTTCGACTCAGTCACTCCCAGAGTCCCAAGATGCCTGAAGAGGTCCAGTTCATGAAGACTGTACCATACCTAGCTGCAGTAGGCGCCCTGATGTACCTGGCAACAACAACTCAACCAGACATTGCCCACACTGTCGGTTATCTTGCCAGATTTAACTCGAATCCAGGATTAGCTCACTGGCAAGCTGTCAAGCACCTGCTTCGCTATTTCAGAGGTACTGCCAACTACAAGATCACTTATGCGCCTGATCCATCAAGCACCGAACTGTTCTCAACCTATTCCGATGCTGATCATGGTGGATGCAAGGACACAGGGCGCTCCACTGGTGGATACTTGGTGAAGATTGGTTTTGGAGTTGTCTCATGGTCTTCTAAGCTACAAAGTATTGTAGCACTATCTACTACTGAAGCAGAGTACATCTCTGCAGTCTCAGCAGGCAAGGAGATCCGATGGATGCGAAACTTGCTGCAGGAGATGGGATTCTCTACCACTGCACCATCCATACTTAGAATAGACAACCAGAGCGCCATATCTGTTGCCAAACACCCAGAACACCACGGGAGGATGAAGCAACTGGATCTTAGTTGGTATTGGCTCAGAGATGTTGTTCACAAAGAGATAATTGCGCCTATCTTTGTGCCCACAGCTGATCAGCCAGCTGACATCTTGACAAAGTCTTTGAGTCGACCAAAGGTGGAACTGTTTTGCAGGATGATGGGAATACACAGATGAGGGGGGAGTTGTTAGAGATTAGAGATGTGTTCAGTCAGGGGGGAGTGTTAGTTGTGTGGTGACTTCACACTAGATAGGTCGAAGACTTCTAAGACTTCGAAGACTTCAAGGACACTTCAAGGACATTACTATATTAGTAGATAACTTCAAGGACTTCAAGGACACTTTGAGGACACATACCATACTAGGAATTGTTTATATTTGTTTACATAGACTCGCCCATGGTGCAGAGTTCACAAGTCTTACATGCTTCGTGCATTGACTTTGAACTCTCAGGTATAGTACTTTACTTATTCACACAATAATATCAAGTGCATTGACTTTGAACTCTCAGTTATTCTAACACTAGCTTATGCAAAGGCAAAGGTAGAACAGAAGCATGGCGTGAAAGCTAACGCGAAGGAGAAGAACGTCCGCTTCAATGGTGTTTCTGTTCCTAGTAAAATGTGATTGTAACCAGGCCCTGCATCATGCCAGCCAACAGTTGAGGAAGGAATCATCTCCCCAGCTATTTAAGTGACATCTAGCAAAGGCAAGGAGGTAGCCAAAATACCCATAGTAATACAGCCCACGCTGATCACGAGCGTGGAAGCATCGTCTTCATTGTCATCTGCAAAAAAAACCACTAATGTTTTGCCCCCAGCAGCAGCAGTAGCAGTAGCTCCCATGCCTTTGGGCACTTATCATTTAACCTGTCCGCTCGAGGACGAAGGCGCCAAAAAGTGCATAACTGACCGGATTCTAGATGTTGCAATCAGCATTCCTGTGTGCAATGTCTTAGCCATTTTGCCCGACATCCAGAAGAACCTCCATGACATGTCGACCAATCGAAGGGTCACAGTCGCGACAGTCTCTGTCAATGAACTGTTCAGTCACCCCGCTTCACATCATTGGATGTGTGAGTATGAAAATGTGTGTTCACGTAGTGACAACAGACACATCATTGCAGATCACTTTGCACCACTGAGGTGTATTTGTGCAATGACCGTAGGTGGCTGAACACTTACCTGTGTCCTAGATCAGGGTGCAGAAGTCGTTGTAATGCTGAAGGAAGTTTGGCAATCACTTGGTGTAGGTCTGTGGTCAGATCACCGCATGTGCATGGAGTCAGTCAATATGTCACATGACTCGACGCTCAGTGTCATAGAGAATATTCCACTCAATTTCAGAGGAGGTCCAATGTACTTCCAAGTCCAGGTAACAGAGTGTGCAAACTTTGAGGTTCTGCTCAGCCAACCATTTTTCACTCTCACTTCTTGTCGCACGTTTGATCTCCCTAGCAGAGCATAGGACATTTTATTAACAGATCCGAACATGCACATCCCGACCCTCCCTTGGGTAAGAAACTGTCAAGTAGCAGTTCACAGTGCACCTTGCAGCGAAGCGACACATACGCACTCGCACATTAACGTCACCAAGGTTGAGGGTCAGGATTTTTGAGTATCAATGATCTGCAGCATATGCAGGGAGACACTACAGAGTGTTTGTGCTCCTCGCTTCATCCATCACACTCATTTTCTATTTCTTATCTTGCTACCAATGCAAGTAAGCTTTTTTGTTTTGTTTTGATTCATATATTTATGCTCAAGGAATGTAGATGGCTTTATGCCTTATTTCTCGCAATGGATGCCAATTTTTACTTATGCTGCCGCAACAAGTCCTCTGAGCAGGCAGACCATAGCCTAAGCAAGGGCTGGGCTTACTTTATAGAACACAATGGATTCAAAAATGTGCTTGACGCTTATGCCAGCCAGGTGCAAGAGGTGAGGTTGAGCATGCCCTAGTAGACATTCACTGAGATTGTGTTTAGAAAAGTTCGTGCACCAGCCATAACACTGTTAATCTTGCTGACACCAAGAATTCGCGGGGACTTGCTGCCACAGGTGTTGGCGCCATCATTTGCACTCGTCATAACCTTACACATCCATCCTCAGTCGGAGATCTCCAAAAAGGAGAAAGGTATGCAAATACGGATTACCTATTCTTCTCGACAATGCGACATTCTAACAAGGTTCTGGCTCTCAATGTCTCATATGATATTGCCTGTCAATGGAGTAAACACTTGTGTCAGCAGATGTCACACTATCCCTCCCAGATTCATTTTGCAACCGACTCGAAAATTTTACCATTTGTCATTCCCAAATTTCATCTACCGGCGCACATTGCAGCATGTCAAACTTCATATTCTCTCAACCTCATCAAAGGCATGGCGAGGACTGATGGTGAAGCCATCAAATGTGGATGGTCCAACATGAATCCTGCTGCTACAAGCACATGGGAAATGGGCCCGGGGTCAAGACGCAACATCTTGGATGACCATTTTGGTGATTGGAATTGACGTAAAGTGTCCAACTTGGGTATGGACTACACTTAGATTGTACCTTTGCCTCTGATAGTTTATTAGGTCCTTTGCTCCTCAAAAAACTCAAGGAGGCAATTCCAGAACATTATCAGCATGCCGTAGATCTTCAAGACTTCAAGGAAGCTATTCCATCTTCGAGTCTTAGTGCTTGGCGGAAATTAGTAGAAGACTGGGAGGCTGATTGTTCTAAACCAAACCCTTTCGAGATTAAAGCATCAGGTATATTTTTGCTTGTATGATATTTGCATTCTTTAACTTGTGCACTACAGTTATCACTCAGGCATCTGTTAGACTAGAGCTTTCTCAGCTTGAAGCCCACCAACTAAGACAAGGAATCGACACCTCCCTCCACACAGATGTCTCCCCTGGCATATTAATCACTGCTGGGATTGACCTAGAGGCTTTACAGTATGTCTGAGTTTTACACTGACAAGCTGGGCTTAACAAATCATTTTACCTCAGATGTTGACTTGCAACAGATGCTTTGAACATTGGAATCCACGCCACTGATAACCAATTGTCTACTATGCAACAACGTACTAATGCACTGCACCGTTGTATCAAGCAGTGGATCCAAATCCAAATGCTATATATTCCCAGCATTGCCAGACTTCAAGCCGACATCTCTGATGCTGCAGATACTACTACCCTTGAGGAGCCTACTCACGCCATCAAACTATGGATGCTGTCTGCAGTTGTGAAGGCAGGTATGTCTTGCAATGTGAACCTGTGTAATATCAAGTGGAAGTTATGCCATGCCCAGGCACATGACACTCTCCAGGGACTCTGGCAACACCTACAACCAAAGTGTCATCTTACTGGGTTCAAGAAAAACTGGGTAACTGGTCAGCAAGCACACATGAGATCCCATGCTGTTATTGATACTGTGGAGGTGAAAATCGCCGCTGCTACAACAAAGTATTGCACAGTGTGGAGGGCACCAGATGCCTTGGCAGATGCACTCCTACGACTTGATTGGAAAGTCGAGTTCCCAAAGCTCAAGGATGAGGACATTCGCGGTATGACAGAGGCGCAGGCAGGAGGCTTGGTGTCAGAAGGTTGAAGGCTCATGGCTGTATCTTGGATCTGGAAACAGTGCCATGGAGCAGGTGAAGAAGAACTTTCTGAAGGTGAGAGTTACTAATTATTTAATGTAGTTTTTCTAACCAGAAATAGCAATGCGCATCGAGTGGTGCAAAGCACGAGCTCATGCAAACAGGTGGGAGGAGGAGGTTGAACTTGTGCAGGAGGAGATGTGACATGTAATAGCATTGTTTGAGTGGCATGCAGGTTGTTGGGAGGAACAGGCAACTTCCAGGTTAGATGACGGAACAATGCAGCATGAAGGAGCAGTGGGATATGCGTTGCAACAGGCTGCAATTCGCCAGTCCATGCAGGACAATTGTCTTTTCTTGTAGGACATAGTTCCCAGCCTTCTCTCTGTTCAGACGACTGCAGAACAAGCACCCTTACCCGCCACAACCACCATGTAGCATTAAATAGGAGGGCTGTATGTTTTTTTTGGCACATTTTTGTCATTTTCCTGCTTTTCACCCCACTATGTGTCCCTAGTCAGTAGACTACTACTAGGTGAAATATGTTGTCCATCGTCGAGCTATACAAGTACTGCATTGACCACATGACCACACCCGCTATGATATTTTTACCATCTATTTTTACTGTCTCTCCTGGATGTTTATGCTTATTTGGGATATGTTGCATGCGGGTGTATGTGGTGGTTCTAACTTTGCACTGATTTGAGATATTTTTATCATCTATTTTTACTATCTATTTTTGCCTCCTAGAGTGTTTGGTGTTTGGTGTATTTAGGGCAGGCACAATAATTTGGTCAAAGATATGCCCAAAAGAACAGTGTCAAGGCACACTATGGCTCCCAAGGGCTGTATGAATACAAAGAAGCCTTGAGAATAGCTGGTGAGCATGAATACATAGCCTTCTACAATAACCAAGGGTGTATGGATACTCCTGCCTAGTGTTGTTCTGGCCCGGCTTGGCTCGAAAGCCATGGCTTTGGCCTGGCCTTGCAAGGCTCTGGCCCATAGAATATTCAGGCCAGGCCAAAGCTATGATTGATGGCTGGCTTTGGCTCGAGCCATGGCCTGAGCACATGAAATGTGAAATATTGGTGCAAGAAATATACTACAAACATATGTACTAGGTTTCAATGTCAGTACTATTGGATTCCGAATCCGAGTCACCATCATCATCAAGCAATAGACCATCCCAACCCTCTTCTTCAGCCTTCTCCATATCTTCACTCTTCTCCCCCAATCCACCCTCAATTTCGAACTCATCAACTTGAAGTTCCTCCTCCACAACAGACGACAGCCCTGGTTCATGAAACAGAAGATCATGACAGATAGCGCATTTGACACATTGAAGGGCCTCGACGACATCCCCTTTGAGCCAGTTGTGTTATTTGCTAATAGTTATTCCACCTTGAGAAAACGCACGCTCACTGAAAACAGACGATTCATAATAGATAGATAGTTATGTGCAATCGAGGACCATACTGGCCCATATCTTTGACCGTTAATCTTGTTCGAAGGTGAGGAATATGAAACAAATAGTAAAAAAAAAATGAACGTACACCCCACCATTGAATCATGCTCATGCCAGGCAAAGGTGGTGCCTCAAATGTGTTGATATAGTTCATGAAATTGGCCTGCCATGGTTTAGCCCAAGTTGATGGCACTATTGTTGGAACATCTTCGTCTTCATCTGAGCTTTGCGTTTCGCGAATGAGTTTCTTGAGACAACTTGCTTTTCCTTGTTTGACGTGAGTGTCTTGCGCTGATGCAGTTGTACCCATTTCAAGGTAGCGAGCTTCGAACTTTTAAATCTGTCAGATATGAAAAGATATATGAAGCATCATTTGACCTACCACTTGTTCTGCACAGGCAAGGACATCTTCCTGAAGATCTTTAGGCCAGTTTTTCTTGAAGTGAGCCATTTTGCCTGTTGGATTGAGTACTTGTATGTCAAAGTTAGCAATCACGATTCACAGTGAATGCGATAAATAGATGGATGAACTCATAGCCATAATATATGCAGGAGTCTTTATTGTCTTCTCATAATACTCGTCAATCTTGTCGGCAGCAGCATCCAGTGCAAGTTCAAAATGAGCATACTTAAGCTGTCTTGCATGAGAGGACCATGCTTTGTAGAGTGTCTCGAGTGCAGGAACCACTAGGTGTAGTGTAGTTCCTGCATCCAATGAGAATGCCTGTTGGGCAATGCTTGCATACTTGCCAGAAACTCTTAGGCAAAAATGGATGAAATAAATCATACACGCACTGAAAGTAAGTCGGCAAATTGGCCAACATGAAGCCACCCTGTACTTGTCAGTCTTAAATAATCAATCTTAGCACACCTCATAAGATCCCGCTCCTGTAACCCCATCTTGTTATACAAAAAGATCAACATGCACTTTGCTACTCTTGGCACAATTGAGCATAACATAGGTCGATGACCAGTGAACCTTCATATCGAGTAGAAGCTGGGTTGGGGATACATTGGCCTTTTCTTGAACACGTTTATATAGCTCCTTCCGTTTTTCTGATGAGTGTTCCTTTAAAAATAGTTAGTGTTAGTTAATTCAGTGCACCAAAGACATCAGCTAGACTTACCTTGATACAAATGCTATGGACTAGTCCTATCTCATCATGCTCGCCTTTATTCAAAGTGTCTGATTTGTGTGCCTTGGGATTGTTACGACTTGGATGGTATCTGTTGACGACGCTCAAACAGAGCGTGTGTCGTCAACGGTCGAGGACGTCCTTGGGCTAGCCCAAGGTTAGGGGTCTTACTTGGCAAGGCTTCGGCAAGTAAGATTTGACGCCTATGTCCAAATCGGGTAGCTTATGTCAAGCGGGTGCTAGAAGATAAGCTATATCGGCCAAGGCTTACAACACCCGAAGGTTAATCGTAAGATCATCATTAATTAGAAGGACAGAAGTCCGACTAGTTAACAGGGGCTTTGCTCATCGACTTCGTCGATGAGTAAAGATTGAGACTAAAGACTTATCCGCAAAGAGCAGATAAGAGAATAGAATATAGACTGCTGGCTAGGCAGAAAGGATCACTCTGGTGAGAGTAGGAGGTCAAGAACCAAGTAGATTCAAGTTAAGGAATATAGTACATGGTAGCAAGTTTATATAGAGGATAGGAAGCGTATTAGTGGGTGATAACTCGTACTACCAAGAGAGGCAATCGGTAAAGGGTAAGACTATAACAGGAAAGCACATTCGCGGTGAGACACGAGTGAACCTGAATGTGCTGATAAGAAAGTGAGTCAAAGATCGAAATAAGAAGTGAAACGCGCAGGGGCACGATCATGCAACTGCGGAGCTAAGTATAAGTACACATGCGCGACTGCGCACCAAGTCATAGATCGAAAAGGGAACTGGGCAGAGGGACACAGCATGCGTCATATCATAGGTTACCATCCAGACGGTAAGGGCAGAGGGACTGTCCACAGGATCAGTCAGGTGGTGGGACGGAGCATGGGTATGCTTCGTCAGCAAAGGGATCCGGCCAGATGTACTGGCTTTGCTGCAATGACAGGTAGAGGGCGAAGGGGAATGCGAGGATAACCAGTATGACGAGAGTAAGGTCGGGGTAAGGGTGTGATGCGAGGGCTGATACGAGTAGGATGAGGAGAAAAATGATAGGGGCCCAAGCATCAAGATGTTCTTGTAACAGGGATCATGTGGTGAGTAGTGTGGAGATTTACTGTATGTAGCAATTAAAGTCTGTATTCCCAGATTGACAACATGTGCCAGACAACTACCGTGATACTGTTAGATAGTACAAAGTATATGTTGTAAATGAACTTACTTTATCCTTTGTTCACACCATGGGAACTTCTTTTGGTGCCGCTGATGATAAAGCCGTGCAAACTCATCAAGCATTGTGCCATTATTGGCAGCATTATCACATGTGACATAGCCAAGCTATGGAATGTATGAGTATGAAGTGAAGCGATTGAAATCCAAGTCAAGATACCTTGTGCATGATGCCAACATGGTTCAACACCTTAAACAATGCACCACCAAGACATTTTCCATTGTGCGCATTATTCAGTTTAATGAATCTGAGGAGCGCACTCTCACATTTCCACATTGAGGGATTGTCTTCCTGGATCCAATGACCTGTCATGGCAAAATAACCATCAGTATTACCAGCTTGCTATGCATCACAGGTAATGTTGATGGCCCTGTAAACAGCGTCACTCTAAGTCCCATTCAAATATATATCAGATGAAGACAGAAAGCAAGATGCACATTCAAAGTTGCCTTGAGCTTCATTAAGTGATTTTTGAACATGTGCATAATCTGCGCCTGCATTGCCTTCCTTCCAGGAATTTTTATGCCATTGGTAGCATGAGCAGCCACATCAATCATCTCTTTAAATTTTGGATGTTCGAGGGCTCGGATGGACTCAACACAGCAAATATTAGCGATAGACTCTGATCAAGCAATACAGACACACCTGGTCCGTCGCTATGAGCCATTCAACAGCTGCAGTCTTGAACAGCTTGTCAGAGTATGGAACCACACACTCCGCAAGCTTATGTTCAGTAAGATGCAAAGTGATGGCCTGCTGAGCGGGCACGGCTTGGCCTTGCAATCCTTGACATCGCCGGGCAACATTGAATTGAATTTGTTGGTTTTGGCCCAGGTTTGATATTTTCCCTATTGTAAGAGTATTTGTTAGTTTATATTCAGTGTGATCAATGAGTACATACCACAAAGTTTGCTTCTGTGTGCTGACGAAGAGTTGTAGTTTCATTTACAAGAACACAGCCTTTCCTATGAAATATGGGTGAGTATGTCAGCAACATTGACAGCTAAAATCTTATGCGCAGCTCTTGCATTTCCAATGCTTCTTTACCTTCCCATTTTCTCCTGTCTGCTCGAATGCTGGTCCAAAAAACTGTTCAATATCAGCCATTCTACCTTCACATGTCAATGATGCATCAACAATTGATTGGACGTCAACATCAATGGGGATACCATCTTTGTCAACGTCTTTGTCAACGTCCACTTCCTCAATACATTTCTTTTTTGCTGATGCTTTAAATTAATAAGAATGTTCAGTTAGAAGTAGGTTGTAGCACTCACGCTTCGGATTAATATATGCACTTTCCTGCATCTCTATGTCATTGTTGTCCTCATCATCCTCAAAAATCTCCTCTAAGTCAACACGAACTCTTTTCATCTGGTTGGGGACATGCAAAGTTGGTGGTGCAGCAGCAGTCTTGAATGTGGTGGAAGTTGGTTGCTGTGAAGGGCCTGCCACAGATGACAGTTCAGTACCTTCTGCTTGTTTGATGCATCATGCAGCTTCAGCAATATGAAAGTCGTTGACAGCCTTTTTCTGGAAGGAAAGTGTTACCAGTTCCACTGAATGAAGGAGTGCTGCAGTAGGTTTGGTTTTGCGGACTGGACGTACAGCAACACAAGTTTTGCCCTCATCATCTGAGAGAATAGTGGGCGGCATAGCGTCAGTTCAACAAGGGGAAGATGAGTATCTCACCTAATATTATATTGCTGGTCTTTTTGTGGCTAGTTCAGTCATTTTGGATGATTAGATGCCTGATATTGCAGAGAGAACAGAGACATACCATGTTCCTGAAAGCATATTTGAGATGTTGATGAGTTTGAGAAACCTAAGCGCACATATTAGGAGCAAGATCGAAGGCGGAGAACATTGTGCCGGATGCTGGAACCAATTTTGGCTTGAATACACATTCTATTTCTTTGGTAATAGTGATGGACAGGTCCAGTTCGGTCCAGTTCTCTGGGAAATTAAGAGAACCAAGAACCGAACCTATGGTTTGGTTCTCTCAGTAAGCAGAACCATGGACCGGACTGTCAGTTCGGTCCAATAATGGTCTGGTTCTGGTTCAGTGAGGGTTCGAACCAAGAACCGGACCAAACAAACACTATTTCTCTCCCCTTGTCACATCGTCACCATGATAGGCACATTGGCAAGGCTATTGCCTCAGCACTCGTACAGAATGGTGCAAAGGTCTATATTGCTGCTAGGAAAGAGCTCCAGTTGAAGGAGGTGTGTTTGCTGATTACTTTATAGAGATGATCTGATGAAGTTGATAACTGCAGCACTGAATTTGAGCGTGCTTTGCAGTCCGATTTGCTTGCCCTGTGCAAGGGACAAGTCTCCTTCTGATGGACTCAACATGCCCATTATGATCAAGCTGCAGTTGGCGTGACATGCTACTGCCTGTAAAAGGATTCCCCGCAACGACACCTGGGCAACTCTATGTCACGTTCATTGCTGGCCTCGGGCCCACTTTTGCATCACTGAGCTCTCAAATGACAGTTGATATCCCATCAACTTTACAGGGTGTTGCGTTTGTCTGTTTTCAGCCACTCATATGACTCAAACTATATGTTACAATAACATTTACTCCTATTCTATTTTTCTTTTTCTTGTAACCATGACGCCGATTCTAGACTCATCTAGACTCGGCTATTCTCTTCAAGCGGGCTGTCCGCACTTCTGATCTTCTTTTGTAATATAAATACTATCTTGTGCTGCATGGCAAGACCTTACCTATCTTGATAGGTTGTACTCTTTTTCCTATCTTTGATACCGTTCTCGGAGTGCACTTACCGATGGTCCGTGCACTATTTCTTTACATATATAAACCCCATGTACTTCACTAGATTTCCCTAACTTAATCTACTGGGTTTTCCCTTTGAATCCTGATCTACAAGGTCTCCACCCTTGTAGCCTGATATCTGATTCTAAGGCAGTCACTCACTGTCCTTAGCCTGAACTCTTGATCACGGTAGAAGTGCTAAGACCACTCGCCACCAGTCCTACATAGAAGCCCTAGCGCTCGTGTAGAAAGAACCCTTGATCCAGAAACCCTCTTTGTATTAAGAGGGCCGACGAACTGTCAATATAAGATAGGTCTATCTTTGACCTTTGACAGAAGACCTATCCCAGTCGTAACACTATATACTAACTTGCCACCGGTTCAAACTGTTACAAGAACATCTAGACGCTTGGGCCCCTACCATTTTTCTCCTAATACTCCTCGTATCAGCCCTCGCGTCATACCCTTACCCCGACCTCACCCTTGTCATCCTCGTCATCCTCGCATTCCCTTTCGCCCTCTACCTGTCGCTTCAGCAGAGCCAATACATCTGGCCGGATCCTTTCGCTGACGAAGCATACCCATGCTCCGTTTCACCACCTGACTGATCCTGTGGACAGTCCCCCTGCCTTTACCGTCTGGACGGTAGCCTATGATATGATGCACGACGCATCCCCTTTGCCCTATTTCCTTTATTGATCTCTGACTCGTTGCGCAGTCACACATGCGACTTATACTTAGTTCCGCAGTTGCACGATCGTGCCCCTGCGCGTTTCACTTCTTATTCCGATCTATGACTCACTTTCTTATCTGCACGTTCAGAGCTCGCCCGTGTCTGGCCTCGAACGTGCCTTCCTGTTATGGTCTTACCCTTTACCGATTGCCTCTCCCGGTAGTACGAGTTATCATCCACTAATACGTTTCCTGTCCTCTATATAAACTCGCTACCATGTACTATATTCCTTAACTTGAATCTACTTGGTTCTTGACCTCCTACTCTCACCAGAGTGATCCTTCTGCCTCGCCAGCAGTCTATATTCTATCTTCTTATCTGCTCCTCGCGGATAAGCCTATAGTCTCGATCTTTACTCATCAACTTTGTCGACGAGCATAGCCCCTGTTAACTAGTCGGACTTCTGTCCTTCTAATTAACGACGATCCTTACGATTAACCTTCGGGTGTCGTAAGCCTAGGCCGATATAGCTTATCGTCTCGCACCCGCGTGACATAACCTACCCGATTTGGACATAGGCGTTAAATCGTACTTGCTGAAGACACGCCAAGTACGACCCCTAACCTTGGGCCAGCCCAAGGACGTCCACAGACCGTTGACGACACAAGCTCTGTTTGAGCGTCGCCAACAGATACCATCCAAGTCGTAACACAAACAGGTTCGAACCTGTTCAGAACTGGTTCTGCAATTCTGTAAGTCCTCAAACCATGGACTGGACCAATGGTTCGGTTCTCCCTATTGCCCGAACCTTGAACCGGACTTTGGTCAGGTTCGAAAAGGTTCAGGTTTGAACCGTGGTTCAGAACTGGACCTGGCCACCACTATTTGGTAAACATCTTACCAAAAAGTGCATAGTTCTGGACTGGACCGTGGCAGCACTAGCCCGGCCCGAGTTTCAATATTTCTGCTCTAAAAACTTTATAATTCTCATTTATAATGCTAACTGTATCATTTAAACACACCTCGTCACCACCCGCACTCATCCTTGACATGTGAAAGGTGTCAATATTTGTAGTGTTGTTGGCAGAAGTCTGCCATTCTGCCAATGGCAATTGCCGGCAGTAGGTCGAGGGCGTTGGGCAGAAGTCGGCAGAAGTCAATGTGAATCTTATTTGTACTATCATCAAATAGAATATGTTTGACTTTGAATAAGTGTATCTGAGCCTCCGTGCATGCCAATATGTCCTCGAAAAAGTCTACTGGCTGCCCTACTCGAAAAATCATCACCAACCACTTTATCCAGGATCAAAAAGTCCAAAATTCATCCAACCGTTATTTTTACAAATGCAACTACTGTTTGACGTCTATAGAAGGTCGCGACGACAAACATCTCAAGCATATTCTTGACCGGAATATTTGCCCTATGGCTCCAGATCATGCTCGCACAGAAGTCCGCAACTATCTCACTATAAAAAACGGAAATCAAGCACTACTACTCCCACCTATCATGGATACAGATTCTTCTTCATTCCCATCAACTTCAGGAGACACAGCTAAAGCTCCACAAAAATGGAAGAACCTCTTCGGATTTGTGGATCTTCCAGTCACTCCAGAGCAAGCAACACATGCAAATTTCAAATTGTTTCGGTGAGTTCAAGTGTCACAAATCATTAATTGTGTACTGACTGTGTGAATATTAAACCCACAGATTCATTGTTCACGCTAATATACCTTTCTTGGTTGTGGAGAACTGGTTTTTCCGTAACTTCCTTGATGAAATTTGGCCCTTGTATCAAGCACCATCACATTATGTGCTGTCACATTCAATTATGGATAGCAAAGTTGCGCGCGTCCAAATCGAGGACATTGCACATCTCAAGGAACGTAAAAAGCTTACATATTTGCTTGATGGGTGGGAGGATAAAATAAGACGAAGCTTGTATGGGTCGTTGGCTGCTGAAGTCAATCAGCCTCCAGTCGTGTTGAACCTTGAGGATATGACGGGCACCGAGGTTCTGCAGACAAACTCCTTGATGTCTCAGTGAAAGCTTTGGAAAGAATGGAGATCAGAGATGGATGTAACATAATCGCGGCAACAACTGACAATCCCACTGTGATGATGTGCACACCCGTTTATGAAGCGGCATGTGACAAAAGCTACTCAGGTAGTGCGAAAAAATATGACTACTATCAGTTAGAGAAAAGAATTAAATGAACTATAGACAATCACTTTCCCATTTATGTCTGTGGGAAGATGCACAGAAGAAGATTGGAGGCCTCTCACCTGTTGCCCCAGATATTGTCACCATTGTCCTCCGCGACGCAGAGTTTTGGCCTGCCATTGAACAAGGGATCAAGGTTATGAAGCCAATTGTTGACCTTATCGGAGATGAGGAGTCCCACGATTCATCACTCGCTTCCTGCATGCTTGGGCTAATTCGGCTTGCGAAGACAATCTCTCAGTTGCCAATCAAAGAAGGAGATAATGTTCACTTCTGGCAACATGCAAAGGCTGTCTTCAACTAGCGTTTTTTCGCAATGAACACAAAAACTCACAGTCTCGTGCTATTCTTACACCCAATGTGCCAAAAACTCGCAATTTCGCAAGCCATAAATGGACGTTCATTCAAATTTATGGTGGAGGTAGCTCTCGACATTGCTAAACAGTGGCGATGGAGCAAACAGCTTGCAAAAATGCTCGTTGCTGACTTAAAGGATTATCACAAATGCTCTCGGGAGGGCAGGCCGACACACTCAATTGGTGGGAAACCCTCCCCATCAGTGCCGAGCACTGTCCATTGAAGGCATTTGTAATCATAATCCACTTAATTGTACCTCATGCTGCTGACATCGAGCATTATTTCTCAGGTCTGGGTGGGGTACAATCTGTGAAGTGCTGCAACCTATCAGTTCAGACTTTCGAGTCTCTGAGCAAACTCCGGGCAAGCTACGCAAATTTCTTGCACAAGGTGGATCACGAAGCTGGCAAGCCAGCACGTCGCAAACACGCCCATATGCACACTCGGCCAGAGCATGGACTCGACACAGCCTTGGCAGACGAACTTCAAAGGTCGTTTGCATGGGTGCCACCACTCGCTGGTGCCTCTCGCAACTCAGATGACGAATTTCTTGCAGGTCCCGAGTCAATCACAGATGAGAAGCTGCTCGAAGAATTTGACAGATTTGAAAACGAGATGCTGGAGTCACGAGGCTTGCAAGAAGGTACTGGCGAAGTCCCAGATATTTTCGGGGGAGATATTATTGATTGGGATGAGCTGGAGAAAGTCGATAAAGGAATTACACCTGCAGGGTTTGTCGAAGAGATTGAAGTGGTTGGCCGTGGGTCACAAGGCACGGAGGCAGGCTGGAACATCAATGCGCTGTTGACATCAGGGGTGTAGCATCCATGCAATAGCTTAGATAATTTTTTTGCTGTTATCTTACTAGAACACGCAGAAACCCTCAAAACAATTCTGCCGACTTTTGCCATTCTGCCAATTGCCGTTCTGCCGTTTTTTTGGCAGAACTCGCCCCAAAATACTTCTGCCCCCTACACTAGATATTTGCCATGGTGTAGTACCATGCTTACATAATGACACGCTTTGTTTGGAGGCGTTGCCCATCCATTATGATCATTATTATTATTGGGCACACCTCCTTGTGTTACTGTAGTGAATTCAAACACTGTTATCTCGTTTCATGCCGTCCTCACCTCAGATTCAATCCCTCTCCCAGCTCGGCCAGCATGAATCCGAGGGTTCACATTTCCCACAAAAGCATGATTCCCTGTACCTATTCGACGGCAACATCATCCTCATGGCGCCAACCAAGGCTGGCGGAACGACCCTATTTCGGGTCCATCAGTCTATACTATCTAATCATTCACCCATATTTGCAAATATGTTGAAATCCTCTATCAGCGATGAAGGCCAAATGTACGATGGTATTCGATTAGTGCGGCTCACTGATGATGCCGAGGAAATCGAGTCTTTGTTCAAATTGATATATATTCCATCGTAAGTGGCCTTTCTCCGGCAGATACAATAGCTGATTTGTTTAACCTCTTCAAAGCCCTCTGATACTCTCTCAACGCCTGAGTAGACATGTTCCTCCGATAGTGCGTCATGTCCTGAAGCTTTCAAACAAATACGAGATGAGCAAACTTCGCCAAGCGGTTGTTCAGGTACTGGAGACACAATGGCCAACGTCACTAGCGCAGTGGGATAGACTTGAAGGCGAAATAGCAGCCATGGCCTGGGATCAAGATTATGATCACACACCACTTGATCTTGATCGCAACCTGCCAGAACCTGCTTTGGCGATAAGGCTAGGTAGAGAATTCCATGTGCCAAGCATAATGCCCGCTGCTTTTTACCATTTATCTCGTCTCTCCATTGGCCACTCGCTCCATATCCCAAGAGATGCAGTGCGACAACGCACTGCTGACTGGAACCTTCTCACAGCAGCCGACTTGATCTGTCTGATTATGGGAAAGGAAGGTCTTTCGATGGTGGCCGCTTCCATGTTAATGTCGGACTGTTCCGGTGACGAGACCATGAAGACTCATTGGGCGGAAGGAGACTGCAGGGGATGCAGAAGGTCGCAAATAATGGAACAAATTCATTGGGAGTGCAAGCGCACGTCCGACGTTCTCTCGACTCTTCGTCGGTACTTGACGGTGGAACCATTTCCGTGGTCACCAATATGTGAAACATGTTCCTGCGTCATCAAGAATCAGTTGAGGAAGGTGCGCCAAACACTATGGGCTATGTTACCTCTTCTGTTTCAGTTGGAAATTTGACTTGGCATTCTTTGTGATACAATATTACATACATAGTATTTTACTGCCTACATCCCAAAAAGCGGAAGTCGCTCGCGAAGTGCTTGCGAGCGTTTTACAGCACCGTTTGCATATGTATCAGAGGTCTGGTAGTTTGTAGTGGAGTATGTTAATAGTGGCGAGTCGGGGATGATAGTGATCACGTGACTTCTTGCAGAGCCGAAGCTCAGTTTTTTTTGAACATGTTCGAACACCAAATGGCACGAAGACACGCTTCTTTGTATTTTTTTGATGGCAACATCGCGCTCACGGCCTCAAATAATTTCGGCGAACAAACTGTTTTTCGCGTCCATCAATCACTCCTATCACATTATTCCACCGTCTTTGCGGACATGTTGTCGCTGCCACTTGAACAGGAAGCCGAAACATATGACGACGTTCCACTAGTGTGCTTGCCTGACAACGCTGAGGAGATCGAATCCTTATTGAAAGCCATATACTTTCCGCGGTGAGGGTACATCTCTTTCTACTGTAAGTTAATTGTTTATCAGGCTTCTCCCGCTAGCTTTCCTCCGTTATACCCACACCTAACTCGATGCGCACCTCGCGCAATTTACCACCTCTTGAATCTCTCAAATAAATATGAGATCAACGAACTTCGTCATGAAGTTGTTCAACAGTTGGAAGCAGATTGGCCAACTTCGCTAGCTCGGTGGGATCGACTAGAAGGTGAAATTGCTGGGTTGATCGACTCAGACGGTGATTCTATGTGTCCTGAGGATCCACTTCCAGATCCCGCCTCTGCCATTCAATTAGCCCGCGAGTGCCAGGTTCCAACAATATTACCTGCCGCTTTCTATCATCTTTCACGGCTCTCTATTCGTTGCCAGCCTGATAAACCCTCTAGATGTAAGCCATGGCGCCGCACCGCGAATTGGGGTCTCCTCACAGCAAGAGATCTCCGGTGCCTCCTTCTAGGCAGGGAAGGTCTTCGGCAGGTCACTGATTCCATGCTCACCACCGAGACCGGTGATGTTGAGAGTCAGATACACTGGATGGTGGATAGGTGTAGGGGGTCCCAACGAATAGAGGTTATGAACAAAATCCGTGAAGAATGTCAAAGTACTCCAGATGTCCTCGCGACTCTTCGCGGGCATGCTACAGCGGAGAAGCTCCTAATTTGTCACATTTGTCACAGTTGGATTAGAGACAGGCTGAAGCAAGTTCGCCACGCACTATGGACCAAGTTACCCACATTATTTCAGCTGGAGGATTGATCACACTCCGGTCGCATCTCGAGATTGTTGCTAGGGAAAAAAAAACATTAGGATGAACATTTCGATGTTCACAATGATGTACTAAGGTAGAAATTGACCAACCACAGCAGTCCTTCCCCTACTTATCATGCTCTACCACGTGTTTTTAATAGCAACCAAAAATCTGCGGTCACGACGAATGTGAAATGTAATATGTTGCAGTAGGCAGTTGGTGGGCAGCGCTGATTATCAGTGAATCCATGAGTTCACAATATCAAGCATGATAACTATCACCTTGCTCTGCAGCTTTGCAGTCGCGTCAACGAACTGCAAACGTGACGCGTGATGGCAACTCGGCCACACCACGGCCTTCCTTATTGCGCTGGTTTTGCAAATGAGCCCCACCTGACCACCGGCGATCAACGTTGCGGATGGGCCTGACAACAGCCTGAAATAGACGAACGGCAGCAGGTGCCTATAAACAACTTCCCACTTTGAGTGAGCGATACTCAAACCTCTATCTTCCGCGAGCGCAATCGATCTGTTTTTGTTTTCTTTTGTGTCGTGTCAAGTTGCGTCGTCAGCAGCAGCTGGGGCTGCGGGTGTGAAAACAAGATGTAGCAGGCGCCGAGTGAAACAGAAACATGGCCAAGTGAAATATGTATCGATACAGCTTACCTAACCAGCTGATGCGATGGCATCGGTCTACCTAGCCCGGAGCAGCAGCCCATAGGAACTTCCAGCAGCTCTGATGTTCCAACAATCTGTAAATCAGCTATTGGGTGTACTGGACCGGCTACGACGTCAGCATGCTGACCCGAGACTGAGTTGTAGGGCATTTCGTACCGTGTAAAAATATCCAGTCAGGGCAGGCTATGATTCTCGTATCTAGATTTACGCGCACAAACGTACTATCGCTGTACGAGAGTCGGTTAGATAAAAAGGAGGTAGATGAACTCTCTCGATCATAGCATTTAAAGTTGGTACAGGCATAGGCACCATTATGTGCAGGAAAGCATGATCTGATGCGGGCACACGTCAAGTTATCTTGCAAGAACATCAGATCTACATGAATACGATCAGGTAGCACAAGCTCACCTGCAGCCAGAATTGATGTAAGGGAATCGAAGGTGACTGATGGGAAAATGATGGTGCCAAGAGCACAGGACTGCGTGCTTCTGCTGTTGATCCTTCGCAAGGTAGGTGATTAGTAGAGGAGAAGACAAAGAACAAAAGAGAAAACACTTAGCAGATGCTCGCTTGAGTGTGACTGGACTTATGCATGATCAACAATATACCCCGTTGCAGCCTCCCCCTGGTGCCCATTCCGCTTATCGAAACAATGTTGCAAATCCAAATCAGCTAGAAGGCGCTTGCAGATCTTGCGCATGATACTAATGAGAAAAAGGCGGGTATAGGCCAGACTATGCGTGGTGGGAGCTGGAGTTGAGCCAGTTCTCGAGCTGCCCGATTTACGAAGTTTGTAGGACTCCGAGATCGAGATCTGGTTGGCAGTAAGGGCGGGCACGTCATGATATGCTGTCGGTGGGCAGAGAGACACTTAGTAGCGCTACAAATACCACAAATTATGTACATCAGTAATTGTGGGGGTTGCGTGATATGAGGTTTAACTAGCCGGAAAACCAGTAGACGTTCATAGGGTGAAGGTTGGTGTTCCGCCAGGACCTAATGGCCAGTTCAGTGACTCTATCAGGCTGTCCAGAACCCAAATGATAGAGAAGAAAAAGCTTCTGAAGGCAGTTCTCCCAATCCCTCATCCACCGCCTGACTTGGACGTAGTTCCACACCACGCCGCTAGAACTGCGAGACATGACAAAACGCCCCGAGAACGTCGACGTCATCTCTTTCATCAACGCTGATCCATGTACACGAATCTGGTTCCTTCTGTCGGATAGGAACGAGTAGCCCGGTTCAAGGTTGCGGAAGATGTCCTATCTCCAGCAGGTCGCCAAAAAGATCCAGACAATCTTCTCGCAGCCACATGTGCACTTCAATCAAACTGTTCGTCGAATGAAGTCAGCCAGCAGTCAAAGACAAGAGAGAGATGACACTTACACCTGCGGATTGTTTTCCAGAACAAAAGCGGGAGCATTTTGGAACAACAGACAAATTTGATAGAAACCTGCGGCTCTCAAACGCCGTCTCAACTTGAACTCGCGCAAAAACGGGTTTATGTGGATAGGATCCAGTATCTGACCGGACAGCTTGACACAGCCGAAGCTGAAAAATAGCTTGCCTGGACATTCAAGGAGCATCGAGGGCAGATGCTGGGGGTGTGGACAGACGTGAAGTTGGCTCCGACTCGGACTGGTGTCTCGATCTGTCTGTAAAGTAACAGGCTTGTGCTTGAGGTTGGTGCGAAGAGATAAAAGTTTGAAAAAAGAACGATGAGGTGATATCCTGTACTATGATCATCAGTGAAGCGGTGAACAAACGAGAATGGTATTTAAAGTAATATATTGTTCAGACTCCAACCTGTCACCTGTGGGGAGAAGTCCTCATGATCCTAGAGCAGCCACGATACAAATAAAACATAACATTAGTCATCGTATTATAGCCGAAATTTTGGAGGACACTCCCCACAAAGCGACTGGCAAAACTTGTTGGTGGCGCGTCTATTATACCTTGTTTGTCCCACCAAAAAATTCAGAATTCTTGCCGCCTTGTTATGAGTCAGCTTGCATCCCGCCCTCCCGCCCCGCCACTCCCATATACGGTATCCTTCTCTTATGTGATCTATGTCTGCTCTATGTTATATGATCCCAGATCTCTCACTGATTGAAGATGCAGTCGAGGTCACTTTCAACATCGCGCTGTGCAAGTTCCAGTTGCGGTGTGTGCAAGCACAACTAGATCGGAAGGACATCATCACCATTGCTCCAACAGGTGCAGGCAAAACACTAACGTTCTGGATCCCCCTCCTCTTCAATAACGATGGCATTGTAATCCTCATTACCGCGCTCAATGGGCTCGGTGATCAGAACATCAAGGAGTTGCAGCAGCTCGGTACTTCAGCAGTGAATTTGACTGGCACAAATGCAACAAACAACACAATTCAAGGTATGTTAAGTTATGTTCACTATCGTTGCTGCAATCATCCTGAGCTACAGAGCAGGAATCAAGAGCCATAAATATCAAGTAATTATTGTGAGCCCTGAGCTTATCATCAATGACTGGTGTTTCAATGATCTATGGAGAGCAAGGGACTTCACAGCTCACTTGTTCAATATCACCATCGATGAGGGGCATTGTATCAGTCAATGGGGAAAGGACTTTCGTCCTGAATATAGTCAACTCAGCAAACTTCGCTGGCTGCTTCCGCCACATGTGCTGTTCCATGTTGTCTCTGCAACCTTACCAGCACACATCCTGAAAGACGTCTCAGCATCTCTGAATATGCAGCATGAGAACACCTCCATGATCCGGCTTTCGAACGACCGATGAAACGTCCAGGTTGCTTTGCCGAAGTGAATCCATTATTGTTACAATAACATTTACTCTGCTTACTCATCAGCGCCGGATACCGGCTACTTCATATTCCCATATACCGATACTCGTGACATCTAGAGCGCAGCTCTACAGATCGATCGAACCTCGAGCAAGGCTAGACTTAGCCTAGACTCATCCTCACGGCCGCTGCATCTAGAACTGGCCTAGACCCTTATCGAGAGGCTATCTGCCTCATGTTGATTATCATAGTGCGCAGCACTATTCTCTTCTATTCTTTGATTGTATCTTGGACACTATCATGCACAGCATGATTCTTTACTTATCTTCTTGATTATCTTGATTGTTGCATTGTTACTATCAACATGCCAGAGCATGAACGCTTACTTACCTAGATGCCTATCTCTGACTCATACTTATTGAAACCCGTCCTTGATAGATAGGCTTGCCCTGAACTACTCTTAGGATACATATATATACTTCTCATGTACCTAGATAGTTCTGCACTTTAATCTACTTGGTTTTACCTAGAATCTGGTTCATCCTGAACATAGCTAGGTACCTTCGGGTACTTAGTCTCTTTGGTGCATACGCTAGTAATCCTCTCTAGTGTATGACCTAGATTCGTGAACCATCGTCTCCTAGACTGTTTACTGCCAACCTGCTTCCTTGACAAGAAGAGGCTCTGCCAGTCGACCATGGGACTAGTCTCGTTATCAGGCTAGTGGACGCGAAGCTCTCTTGGAGATCCCTCGTTATCAGGGATTAGAGAGGAAGATCTATCCAAGTTCATAACAATTATTGCCATTGGCTGATAGCGGCTTGGCTGTGGTGCTGACACTATTGTTTTCGTAAGGTCCCAGAGTGATATTTCATTCACGAGCATAAGTTGAAGGATGCTGTTCACAGCACTGGCTGGAGGAATGGCGGGCATGTGCAAGGAGGGTACATGGAGCAAAAATCTTCTCATTGTCTTGTAGGGATACGTTATCAACCACAATGCTGCCTGCTACATTATGAATTCATGTATGTGTACCATGTACGTAGTGCTATGAAGAACATTTCCATATATGGGAGTGGCGGGGCGGGAGGGCGGGATGCAAGCTGACTCATAACAAGGCGGCAAGAATTCTGAATTTTTTGGTGGGACAGACAAGGTATAATAGACGCGCCACCAACAAGTTTTGCCAGTCGCTTTGTGGGGAGTGTCCTCCAAAATTTCGGCTATAGTATGATGACTAATGTTATGTTTTATTTGTATTGTGGCTGCTCTAGGATTATGAGGACTTCTCCCCACAGGTGACGGGTTGGAGTCTGTATATTGTTAAGCATCGCAACAATCATCAGCGTCATCTCCAAAACTGTCCAAATGTCACAGCACATGACATTACCTGATTAGGCATTTTGAAATCAACCAAGTGTTACGAGGCCACCTGACTGTCACCGCTTACTAAGGTGCTGTTTGGACAGCGAACCCTGGTTCGAAAATTGCGGTTGAAAACAACACATGATGATGGCACGTGTTGCCAGGTGCCTGTCAACAACTGACTAATCTTTGTCATATACACATACCTTTGATCATTTTATCACCGTCGAAATGTCTGATAGATCCAGCAATGGATCTACTCACTCCCTGCGCTCCCAAGGTACTCTTGAAGCAGCGGCAGCATCTGGAACATCCCGTAAGGCCCCTGCAGTGTGGTCAAAGGCAGAGGAAACTGCCTTTCTTGAGTTTCTCTTGAAGGCCCTTCCTTCCTCAGGCGATGGGGGCTTCAAGATGCCCACCTTTAATCAGGCAGCTACCCACCTTAAGGAAAAATTTACACAGCAGAGGGGCGCAGAGAAGACTGGTCTAGTTTGTAAGAATAAATGGACAACAGTGCGTCTAGTGAGCCTTTCTGCCACCACCAATGTCATTATATATCTTTATAGTTAAAGAAAGCATATCACAGTGTCATTGAGATAAAGTGCACTTCGGGTTTCACATGGAGTGATGAGCATGGAGTAGTAGTTCAGGATGCTGACAATGCACATGCGTCCTCAAGCACGAGGAAGCGCACATTATCCAGTGCCACTGATCCTCCAGCACCGAAGAAAGCCGCCGCCATGTGCTTTTTCTCGCCTCTGGACACTGATGAAGAGGACGAGGATGAGGGCAATAACCCTTCTCCCCCCCCCTACCCAAGAAGGGTCATTTTATGAAGAGTATGTTCCGCACCCAGATGACAACGACAATGACAACAAAGCCAAATCTGGGAACGGAGATGATGCCTCTCAGACGACGGTACATTTCTTACTCTACATTCATTGCTTCTTAACTGACACTCGTGTTTAGGTCTCCAAAAGTGAACGTACAGCAGATCTCCGTACCATATTCACTCGCACCTCTGATGGGTGGGTCTGCAACTTGTGCAAGTAAGTTTTAAGTTTTCGCTCTATTTTTTAATTGTTTCTCACTTTGTGTAAGGGACGCTGGTGAACCTAGCCAAAAGCACACATTCCGTGGTGGCACCTCAATGTTGCGGACACATGTTGTTCGCAACAAGAAAACTCATTTCCAGGTATACAGACAACGGTGTGAGGCAGGGGGCATTATAATGCACCCTCGTGCAATCCCACCCGGCGAAGATCTCATGGAGATGCAAATGACTCTCGATGCCAGCCTTGTCTCGAGGCCGCCTGCATTTACCAAGGACAGCCTACTGGAATACATCATGGAGCTCATTGTGACCGAAGACGAGGCCATCCAGCTCATAGACAAGCCAGCATTTTGACGTTTGCTGCAGTATGCACGTCCATCTCTTACCGAAAAAGACATCCCGCATCACACGAAGTTAACAGATACCATCAAGGCTCGAGCAACCTCTATCATTCAAACTATCAAGGAACGTCTGGCGGTATGTTTTTTTTCTAATTATATTGTGACTAGTTATTAAAACATTAGTAGCATGTTGACAGCTCAATTTCCATGACATTTGACTCGTGGACATCAATTATTGGTGAACCGTTTTTTTCCGTTACTGGGCATTACATTTGGAACCCTCCCGACAAGCCACTACAGTGGGAGTTGAAAAACGAGCAGCTTGCTTTCAGCCATGTCGAAGGCAACCACAGTGGCTACAACATTGGCCGGATACTTATTGAGACCATAGATAGGTTCAGCATACACAAGAAGGTGAGTTTTTTTTAAATGTTTCGCATTAGCATTAGACTAACTATTGTATGTACAGGTTGGGTGGATGACATCAGATAACGCCTCGAACAATGACACCACCATGAAAGAAGTGGCGAAGGTCATTGACAAGGATGGCACTCATTGGCTTCCGGGTTCTCGCCGCATCCAATGTCAAGAACATATCCTCAATCTCGCTGCGCGTCACTTTGTTGATGCAGTCGCACCCACCCCTCAAGCAACATTACTCAAAAAGATCCGCGGCGCTATTGATAGTGGTGATGAGACTAACATTGACAGCTTGACCGAACAGCTCGCTACACTGGAGGATGATCCCGAGGCTATAACTGAGGATGGGTTTGATGTTGAGGACGCCGTTGGAAAGGCACTTGCTCTCATCGAACAGGTGAAGTCTTAGTTTTCATCTTTGAGTTGTTTTCTGACGCGACTTTTAGATTCGCAAATCCCCACAAGCCCACGCTTTCTTGAAGAAGTCCTGTGAGGAAGAGGGCATCCCTGTTTGCGAGATCTTGGCCTGGGTGAGAACACGCTGGGCGTCTCTCTTCAAATGCCTGGAATGTTTCATGTCTCTTCATCTGGCCATCAACCACTTCACCCTGCTTGCTGACGAGAGTCCCGAAGTCCCGACGTTGCGCAACAAATCTTACAGCGACTTCAAGCTTGATTGGACTGACTGGAAGAAAATTCAGCTTGTGTGTAATGTCCTCAAGGTAGCTATTCTTTTTTGTTCGTCTACTTGTTTACTTACTTATGTTTAATAGGAACCCGCTACTGCGCAACAATCATTCTCTTCAGCCGCACACCCAACAGCCTCCCAGACCATACCTACACTGGAGTGTCTCGCCGATACGTGGCAGACAATGGCCAACAGCGCAGAATATTCACTGATCGCCGATGCAATTCAGAAAGGCCTCAAGAACGTGGGGAAGTACTATGAGAAAACTAACGACTCAGACATATACTTCGTCTGTCTAGGTGAGTATTTTTTTTTTCTGTCTCCTGCAGTGTATTTCTAATGTAATTACAGTTCTTGACCCCAACTACAAGTTGGCATATGTTGAAAGTCATTGGAGTGCTGCAAAGGTCACGAGCGGGAGGGTTCGTCTTCAAACCCTGGTAAGTTTTACTTCATTTAATATTCCGTCGGCTGATTATTTTGTAGTTTAATAAATATTACGAAGCACCTCCAATGTCATGCACCATGGAACACGCTGCCGTGCCAACGAAAGTGTTGCAGGGTGTTCGGTACAGCCAATCCTGGATGCGCGATGCTGTCACAGCATGTCAAGCAGCAGACAATCGCACCCGTGACCCGCTTCAAGAACTCTCATCATATCTCACTTTGCCATTGGAAGAGACAGACAATATTGTGGCGTGGTGGGGGGTATGTTTTTTTTTGTATTATCACATTCTGAGCTCACTCTATTCATTAGCTACACTCACTTCAGTATCCAACACTATCTCGTATTGTGCGCGATTATCTACCAATTCAGGGCAGTGTGGTTCCCTCAGAACGTGCTTTCTCTAGCGGGGGGATCACATCAACACTTCACCGCAATGCACTGGCCCCAGCTACATTCTCCGTGCTCCAATTATTGAAGGCAGGTTACCGCAATGGTCATGTTTCAGCAGCTACAGAGGCAGAAGAGTTTGCAGCTATGTTAGACTAGCTACTCAATGTGTAGACTAGCTTTTTGTCAATGTTTTTTTTGCGCTCACTATAGAAAAAAATTCGTTTCGGTTCGAGTTCGGACCAGAAAAAAACCGGACCGGACCGCAAAGAACGGTTCTCGATGGTTCGGTTCTCGGTTCTCGTCCTGGACCCCCTGAACCGGACCGAACCGGACCACGGCAGCACTACATACATGCGTCATAATACTTGAGCGTTTTCACAATTCCTAATCAGGTAGTGTTACGTGTTGTGACATTTGAACAGTTTTGCAGATGACCTCCATGTGAAATGGACCCATTGCAAACATCGATTCTTCTCACTCTCAGCAGCTTCCTCAGATTCAATACCTCAGCCACCACCTCGCCATTCAACTTACTCATAAATCTTGCTCTCGCTCCAGCAGCCACTCTACTGTATGTGCTACTTCGTAAGACATCAAGAATCCCCTCCTTGACGCTGCCACTGATGAAAGGAGCGCCGTCTTGATTGCTCGTGAACAACAGCCACGGTCTTGTCGTGTCGTCTTGGGTGCCCACCAGTCAAGGAATATCCCCGTACGTCCATTAGATGAGCCTGGCGAGCTCAGGATCTATACCATATGTTTGCCCCTTTTCGTTACTGGTGCGCCCAAAAAGAAGTGAAAACCAGGGTCAAGCGCGAATATTAGTGCTCTTTTTTTATTAAATGAATCTTGAGTTGATGACGTAGCACCAGCTCGCGATGGCTTACACTAACACCTCCTAACGCTATCTTGAGTTGATGACGTAGCGCCAGCTCGCGATGGCTCTCCACTAACACCTCCTAACGCTATCGCCACCCCCATCGTACTAGTACCTCCACTTGCTTATCCCCGCACCAACGCTATCGGCCAGCGCATCTACCGCTAATGTGGCTTACCATGGCGCTACAAAGATCTCGAAAAATGAGGGCCAGGGCCAGAAGGGCATATTACCATGTGCAACCGCTGCAGAAAAAAAATGAGGTATATAGGCTGGCGGGGAACGACTGATGCAGTGTTCTCAGGTGGGTGAAACCTCCTCGATTCCATCAGCGCCTGGTTGACTCACCTCTCAGTGTTGCGTCTCTCTTCTTCACTCTGACCCCAACACAGATTCAGACGCAGATGGTGAAGGCGATGCGGGTGTAGACACGGAGTTGAGAGAAGCAACCGATGCTTCTGCTGACCACCGCAGTGCGTCTTCGGCTGGTATGAAGGAGGAAGCTGAGGAGTAAAGCACATGTCCATTACAGTGGAGGCCAACAGAACAGAACTCGAAAGTTCTCTTCATTTCCTTCGATTTAATTACATATGGATTTATACATAGTGGTTCCAATGAAATTCACTGAGCGAAATCACATCAATATCGTCTGAAACTCATCATTAGGTACTGAAATCGAGGTGCTGATATTGCATCTGGAAAGCTTTAGGCAGTGAGAAGATAAATACTGATATTCCTGCGCGTTCATGAGGCTTGTGCTTCCTTGATTGTGCTTTCTTGATTGGCGTCCTCGCCCCCTGGACTGCGTTGTCCTACTATTTCTCGTCCTAAATATCCCGTGATCTTGTTATTGACTATCGTCCAGTCGAATCTCTCTCTATCATCTAATGCAAACCATCCAACCAGATTACCCACACCCCGATCATATATTTGTCCACGCTGGTCTCGCTGTCTACCACTGTTGTCCCCAACCCTGTTCTCGTTTTTGTTTCCTTTCATATTTTCTCCTCTTTCTGTTTCGTTCGGTTCATCCTCTGATATTTGTGTCAACTCAATTAGTCCATGTGTCAATCCATAGGTCTTGTGCTTTATCAACGCCGCGCGTCACGTACAGCCTCAACTCTCACGTTATGAGCTGATCCGCACTTACTATGCCCCTCAACCAACGTTGCGGCAGTCAGGATACAGATGTTTTCCACGATGCCTGCCTGACCTTAATGCGCGTTCGTATGACGAGGGTTAAGCCTTCAGCCTGGCAATGTTCACACGTTCGGCTGTAAGGTGTGTGCTTGTTGAATCAACGTTTATATAGTGTAATGAGTTCAAATGAATCTGACTATGGTACAGGTCCCGTAACGGTTCAGGAACTGCTTCAGCGGGCTTGTGGAATCAGCTACTAGCAGGATGCATCAATCGATAGTGCAGGGTTTGGGATAAGGTGTGATCATCTCCAGCGTCTCAATAGTCAGGATCACTGAAATATCGTACTGTGACTAATTTAATGACAACCACATAAATTAACCACGCTCCTTGGTCATATTACTCTATCGTGGCAGCGCTTGGAATGGTTTACTACAGATGGTGTCCACCGGTGGCAGACTTGCTCGGTAAAGTACGAAGTGTCAGAGTCCATACTGCGACCTCGAGTAAATTCAGTATCTGGCTTTCCAAGTTGGTCGCCATCAGCCAAATTGCATAACCCATCTCATCTGCTGTGTGCGGTAAGTCGGGAAACTGCTTGAACATTCTATCTCGAAGTCCATCGGAAGTCCAGCAGGTCCACACCATGGGCCTGATCGCATCCGTCATTCTGCAGGGTGCGTCCGTGGTATTGAAATCGTGAATGTCCCTGATCTAGCAAATGGTGTAAATTAGGGTTGGGAGAGCCTTATGCATCATACGTACTTGGGGAAGGGCGCATTTGAAGCAGTGCTTTGGTGGGAGCGTCAGAATTCTTTTCCAGCGCTGATAGGCAGCACTAGCAAAAATCGTTTCCTGGTGCACTTTGCATTGTGCCATGTCGTGATACGGCACAACGTTGAGCATCCAACAAACTCCACAAATTTCCTCGCTAGAAAAAATATCTTTGAATGGACCCAATCCTTTCAGCGTGTCACTTTGAAGGCGGTGGGTGATGGCACATGTTACTACTGTCTGGTTCACTACCCGGGATGCAAGGGCGGCAGAAATCTGGATAACTGTGCTAGGTGTGAGGCTGTCAATGTTGCTATTACCTGAACTAGTCCGGTGGGCCTAGGTAACGTACATCAATTCGCTCAGCCGTACGAAAATATATAGTTTAGTACTTACGTCGTCAAGTGGCTGCAGTTTCTCCTCGCAGACATCACAGATTTGGCAACTAGTGATGTCTATGCAGCGGCCACTGTCTTCGAAGCCAAAGAACGAACTTAAGGCGAAGCGTCGGCATATCTTTTTCAGCAAACACCTGCCAACATCACCGGCACCCATTAGTTGAGCCTCAGGCTCGTCCCCATCCCAAGCCTTTGGCCGAAGCTCCGAAGTGAAAAAGACAAAGCTGTAACTGGGCCTGTCATCGCTACGTAGCAAAGACAGTGCATGGGCATAGCATATGAAGTTGGATGGTTCGTGGTAGTGAATCACTACCCGGATATGTGTAGGATTGAGGTTTAGCGGAAGGGCAACGGAGGAGAAGAGAATACGGCGGTCGCCGCGTGATGCCTTCCAGGCTTGAAGTACGGCAGCCTTGCGGTCCTGATCCAGGTGGACGTGGAAGACATCTTTGGAAAATAATGTTGCCATTCGGTCCGCCTCGACTTCGGTGGGGCATATAACAAGAATTAGTTCTGTCTCCGTCGTGAGATCCTGGAGGCTATTATTGAGACAGGCTGACAACGGGCCTTCGAGATCGTTACTCAGAGGAGCCTCAAAAGCAGAAAAATGAATATTCCGAAGATCCGTCCGACCACGACAGAGCTGGGCCACAAGAGGATCCATTTTGAAATATGCCAGGAGCTTTGGGGTAGCTGTTAGGGCTATGGCGTAAGTGAGCAGGATAACAGGCAATCTCAGTCGCTGGAGACGCTCGCAATTAGCTATCGCACACTGATATTCCCAAGCTTGAAAAGCGTATTCTGCTTGACCGACGATTATCCTCGAAAGAGATCCCTTTGCATTCTCCAAGAAGGTCCAGAAGCTCGTACTCTCGAGGCTCTCGTAACTGACCAATATAGCTCGCGCACTGTGATTGCCGAGTCCTGGGGACCAGATCACCGCAGAAAGGTCTTTCCTTTCGAATTCAGCCTTGAGCTCTCGAATGGGCTCTAATCCTGGCAGCACGACAACTGAGATGAGACCGACTTCCTCTGGACAGACCGCAGGGAGCAAATAAAATAAGCTCCTATCCTCTCTCAAACCCAGCATAATGACGGCATGCACCTCCCGTCTCATGAGAACCTCCACCGCTTCTGCCTGTTCTAGAGATTGAAACATTGCCTGGGGACCCATGAGAGCCCGGAGGTCCCTGAATCGACTGGAACTAATACACGGGAGGTTCTTATTTGCAGCCGGGCCTACGGGCAATTGGTCGATGGGTGGGGTATTCAAAGAGGGTCTTGAGAAGGGAGAGCAGACAGCCATGCCATCAGCAATGGCGCGATGGATGATCGGGAGCATGGATATGCTGAGATAGGGTGAGATAACCCGGGAGAAAGAGTTAAAGTCAATCTGCTGCGTGTTAACATAGGATAAAACAGGAGGAGATGCGGGAATAGCTGGGGTTGCCAGAGGGAAGAGAAGGCCGTGATGAGCGCAGCTAAGGGCCACAAACTTTTGCAGGTGCTCGCTTGAGACGGATTGTACATATGCGTGGTCAACCGCGTAGCCCCTTGCAACACTTCCCTGGTGTCCACTCTGTTCGTCAAAATAATATTCCAGATCCAAATCAGCTACAAGGCGTTTGCAGTTCTTGCGCATAACGCCAATGAGAAGATGGCGGATATCGGCCAGGCCCATGGGATGACCCAATCCACCCTCGGATACAGGTCTACCGGTATGGGCGATAAGGATGTCAGAGAAATCGTCCGAATCCCATGGCCCATGCAGCCCGTTGAATAGATGATCTTCATATCCAGCAGAAAACTGGAAGTCTTCCCCGTCCAGGCTGAGATAAAGAGCGAGCATGGCTAAAGTCTTGAAGACAAGAGTCAGCCACGGTTTGGAAATGCGACAAAAGTGGTCAGAACCTTTGGGACGAACGTGAGGTACGCTATCATCAACCGAGCAGCTTCCGGAGGCATGCTCCGCGAAATGACCCGCTCCTTCTCCTGGTTGGTCTGAGTCTTGTTATAGCGTGATACGAAGTTCAAATGGCCAGAAAACCAGTAGACGTTTCTAGGGTGAAGGTTGGTGTTTTGCCAGGCCATGACGGCCAGCTCAGTGCCTCGAGCAGGCTGTCCAGAACCCAAATGATAGAGAAGAAAAACCTTCTGAAGAAAGTCCTCGCAATCCCCTATCCAGCGCCTGATTTGGCCAAGGTTCCACACCACACCACTAGAATTGTGAGACACGACAAAACGCCCCGAGAACGTCGACGTCATCTCTTTCATCAACGCTGATCCATGTACACAAAACTGGTTCCTTCTGTCGGATAGGAACGAGTAGCCCGGTTCAAGGTTGCTCAAATCGTCATGAATGTGCTCCTGCTCAATGTTTGGTAAAGAAGCGCCGAGGAGAACAACTTCATACAGCTGAACCTTTGTCTCCTCCATGAGGTTGCGGTACAGGTTTACGAAGTTGGCGATGGGAATAAGTCGACCATCAAAACTGAGAGCAGAGCCTTCAAGATCTGCCCACATCATTCGGGGAAGCAGGGACGTGTTGGCCGTAACAAACGAGAGAAAATGTCCTATCTCCAGCAGGTCGCCGAAAAAATTCAGACAATCTTCTCGCAGCCACCTGTGAACTTCTTCAATCAAACTGTTCGTCGAATGAAGTCAGCCAGCAGTCGAAGACAAGAGAGAGGTAACACTTACGCCTGCGGATTGTTTTCCACAACAAAAGCGGGAGCATTTTGGAACAACAGACAAATTTGATAGAAACCTGCGGCTCTCAAACACCATCTCAACTCGCTCAAAAATGGGTTTATGTGGATAGGATCCAGTATTTGACCGGACAGCTTGACGCAGCTGAAGATGAGAAAGAGCCTGCCTGGACAATCCAAGGGCGTTGAGGGCGGATATTGGGTTGTCAAAAGTGCCATTATTAGGTTATGGGCAGCTGAATGAGCGGCCTGGCATTGATCCATGTCAGTAAGAAGCTGCTCGGCACAGCGCTGTATCTTGCTCCCCAAAGCCACTTTTCGAGCCGTAGAATTGCTGGTACGTTCGAGCCGACCGTCCCGTGCTCGAGACACAAATGCGATCAGCTTTGCAAACGTTCGCACGTAGCGCTGGACCGTTTGCTTTCGAAGTGGTGCTTTGAAGGGTCGATTATTGAGTTCATGGCTAGAACATGGCGCCGTCAGTCAAGGATGATTAGATGAGAGAGAAAAACGCACATGGATTTCGTGGTGTTGACCGCCCGTAGTATACGAGTCTTTCGAAATGCATTCTCGTCGGTTAGCAGCTTGATGATCTCGTCAAAATAACGTTGAAAACACGGCAAGATGCCGCTTAACTCGATTTCATCTTTCTCGGGCATCTTTACCCAGTCGATGATATCAGACGGCGACTCGTCCTTGATCACCTCTAGCCAATTATACTTGGCCAGAAAAGGGTTCAGGTGGGCTCTGTCCATAGGCGGTCCTAGGCGTCCCTTGTGCAGAGCGCGGTGCTGCTCGTAGAATGATTCTACCTGGGCGAGTAAGTCTTGAGACCCTGGCGGAGCTACATGTAGAGCAGAAGGGGAGTGAGGGACGACTACTGGGTACTTCCTTTGCATGCTGGCATAGAAAGCCTGCACAGTGCAGCTCTTCCAATTGTTGCGGGTGTTATGGAAGTCCCTGTCATGGACTTGGATGCGCTGCTTTGAGATAGTGGCGAAGCAGCAGCCCTGAAACGTGCACATATATCCTTCTTGGTATGGAATACCGGGAACAACGGGGCTGGAGTTGTCCCAGTCCTCGAAGCTATCCGACTCGTGAAGTTTGTAGGCCTCCAAGACCGAGATCTGTTCAGCGGTAAGGGCAGGCACATCGTGATGCTTCTGTCTGTGGGCAGAGAGACACTTGGTAGCGATGCCAATCTCACAAATTATGCATATAAGTAGTCCAAGGGGTTTATATATGACGCAGGCAGTCATGTTCAGAAATGCAGACGTAAAGATGGACGGATGACCATAGGGAATAGCAAAGATTCCCCTGCCATCAGCGGGCTGCGGACCAAAGACTTGAATGTCAGCTGGATCTGTGTGAAGGATTAATTAGTATCTCAAACGCAGGAAGAAATATAAATAATACTGACTCAGCACGGGCTTGGTCCTTGCTGGTGCTGGCTTAGCGTTAGGATCGACTTTTGTGAATTGAGATGGAGGTGGCGCAGTGACCTCAAAGCTATCATCTTCGGTCGAACTCCTCACCACACGCTGTGCAGAGGCTGCCGTCGATGATGGCTGCCGATGCGAGAGTTGCAGATCCCAATCAGCCGAGCCTTGAGTGCTCGGTGGCATGATCAAACTGTTGGAATGATGCCGAGTAAGTGGGATGGCAGGGGGAGAGGATTCAGGAAAGGTAAGCTGAGTATATGGATTTCCTAGAGGTGATGACGGAGCTATATCGTAGTCTTCATCTGCAGGTGCTAACAACGACTCGTCAATGTTGTCCTCTTCGTGCATCCTGTCTTCAGTGTCGTCTTCCTCGCTTTCTTCACATTTATCCTCGAGATCACTCTCGTGTTTAATCGGCTGCGTCTAAAATTTAGATCGCTTATAACCCAGACGGCTGGAATGTACTCACCCGTGCTTTCACCCATTTGGCCACCGAAGCTTTGTGTATTGGACCCCTTACTCTCGATCCATGATTGTGCATACTCTTATACATCGTGAATGTTTGGAGACACGCTGGGCACTGGAATGTGCCATCAGCCCGGCGGGCAACGACGACAGGTACTTCGGGATGCTCGACGAATCTAAACCGGCAATAGGATGAATGGAACTGCAGACGATGGTCATCCGCACTTTTAACATCTATGCAGCAGATGTCACAATAATCGTTTCTCCCCACCATTTTCTGAAGGTAGGTCACTGGCAGAAAAGAAAACTGAGTGTCGCGTCTTCGGAAACAAGCCTGGCGCTTACGTATCGCCTAAATTACGGCTGAGAATGTTTACGTTCTTCTGGGTTTCCATATATAATTCCGGCACATCACTGCGATCATATCCGGGAAAAGGCATGGGTGGCATTGTGCTAATCTAACAGCTTTATTGGGCACCAGCACGGCATTCCCTTCGGTTCACCTCGGCGTCTTTAAATTTTTATCGCACAACGTTCAGTTCATACCCAATGATACGGTGTGATGCGCGCGACGTACCCATGCGGTAGAAGAAGTTTGAATGTTTCCTTCCAGCAAGAGGACAGCCAAGGTACTCGTGTGGGCCAGGCGAGGGTGGTGATAGAGAACGATCTAAGAGGCCTGGTGAAGAGAATGGAGGTGAAGAACATGATAAGACGTCTCTGAACATAAGTTCAGTAGTGCAGGTTCATCTATAGCTGGAAAAATTATTTCAAAGAATGATGATCAAGAACAACGGTTAACAGACCTTTGGCACGGGCATCATCACGTCGAATCTCTGCGATATGGTCGTGATATAACCATCCAGCGCGCAACTATGTACAAACCGAGCATAGCAAAGTGCCCAAATCTAGCAAGGGTCGCTGACGATGGACCTTTCCCTTGCCAAAATTATTCACAGAAAGCGTGAATTGTGATTCGTGCGGTCAATGGTGGCGTGGTTAGTCTGTGAGCAAGCGCTTGGGATCTGAGTCTTGTGCGGATGATGCAGAATCGGAGTGAGAGTAGGACCACGAAAAGGAGAGGAAGACGAGAGGAAAGCCTGAGCGTCCTGAGTATGCTATGGCGCCTCGTCTCGCCTGAAAATGGCTTGAGAGGAGTAATCTGTGATATTCCATGAGAACGGCTAGTGAAACTTGAACAAAGATGGACCACACATACCCATGCATGAGCTAATATGTGCAATGACCGAACACACGAACGCATCGGATGAGATGCTCGTTCGATGAAGTATGTCCTGGGGCTGAATACGAATGGAGTTCATGTTGAATATAGTTTGTCAGATAAACACACCTTATCGTCTATGTCTGACAGTAACATTCATGACGAATTGAACGTTTTTAGCATGATCGTGATTCCTGTGAGTATGATTTTAGTAAGGAGATACGGTTGAGGAGACCGGGACATGCCTCGTAAATCGTGCAACCGTGCTTTTGCTCAGAATTTATACCGGCCCCGCCATTCGCATACCATACGATAAGGTACTAGATACCAGCTTATATCGAGATTCGCAACGAATAAGATCATATAACTGTGTTAACGATCGTCAGGAATATCAATAACTCACTTTGAACGCCGGAGGAGGGCTTTTCATCTATAGAGGGTATGGGGGGGAGTCCGATGCGATGGGTTACGTGCTGACTCATCTAGTCACTTACTGCGTGGGAATGCAAAGCTGCCAAATCGCTGAAGTTATCGGGTGCACCTTCCTGTAGTGAATTCCAACACTGTTATCTCGTTTCATGCGTCCTCGCCTCAGATTCAGTCCCTTACCCAACTCGACCAGCATGAATCCGATGCTTCACATTTTTCACAAAAGCAAACTCATTCAAGTTCGACGGCAACATTGTCCTCGTTATAATGCCCGGCTGCTGTTCATTATCTCGTCTCTCACCTCCTCCCTTCCATTCGTTCGGTAGGTGTCCTTGGACCATGCCGGACGAATCGGCCCTCAATTCGACGAGCCGATTCTTTGCTCGTCTCAGGCCGTCCGCGGCACTGGTGGTCTGTTTCCCTTCTTTTAGGCTGAGCCAGGCGAGCGCATGGTGGGTGCCTTGGACGCTGGATCAAGCAATGGTTTGGTTCATGAACCTGTCTTTGGCCCGATTGCTGGGGTAAGTGACTGTTAAGTTGATAAACTCGTTGACGGTCTGATCGTTGACCCTGGTTTCTTTGCGTGTCCCCTAGTAGTTGAGAGGCCAGCCGTCATACGCTCTGCGAACTGTGCACTGCGATGAGGTGGGACTGCCTGTGCCTCCGCGCCTACTCACCCTCGCATAGACACAAGGTCTAGCACCCAGGACACTCCCAATTTTTTGTAATATCATCAGGACATTCGAACATCTCAGTGGGTCCTTTTCAGCTAGAGGATTGATTACACTCCGGTCGTACCTCGAGATTGTTGTTAGGAAAAAAAACAATTAGGATGAACATTTCGGCGATGTTCACAATGATGTACTAAGGTAGAAATTGACCAACCACAGCAGTCCTTCCCCTACTATATCATAGATATCATGCTCTACCGCGTATTCTTAATAGCAACCAAAAAATTGCGGTCACGACGAATGTGAAATGTAATATGTTGCAGTAGGCAGTTGGTGGGCAGCGCTGAATATCAGTGAATCCACGAGTTCACAATATTAACACAAACTGCAAACATGACGCGTGATGGCAACTCGGCCACACGGTACACCACGGCCTTCCTTATTGGGCTGTTTTTTGCGGATGGGCCCGACAACACTGAAACAGACAAATGGCAGCAGGTCTATAAACAACTTCCCACTTTGAGTGAGCGCTACTCAAACCTCTATCTTCTGCGAGCGCAATCGATCTGTTTTTGTTTTCTTTTTTTTGTCGTGTCAAGTTGAGTTGTCACCAGTAGCTGGGGCTGCGGGTGTGAAAACATGATGTAGCAGGCGCCGAGTGAAGTTCCTTACAAAGGAGGTCTGTTATCTACAGCGAACTGGCGAGATATTTGAAACTTATGAGTTTGTCAAACCTTTTCTTTTTCCAATGTCTCCTACAACCATGTTCTCCCCAGGGCCTACGCTGCGCGGACATCATTTTACAGGGGTGCGAGGTCACAGGAAAGAGCGGCCTTGACTACTTTCAGGCGCTTGAAAGCGAACTGCAGGGGGCACAGACTATGCACTCCAGGTTCCCCGAGCCTCTGAAAGCCGCTTTCCTCAAGGCCATGCCGAGAATCAAGTCTCATCTTGATCAGTGCCATCTCCGCCTCACGGAATTGCTGACGATGACGCAGTTCAAATTCACAAGATTGGTGGAGACTTAAAGATCCCAGCGAAGGAAGGATTGGTCCGTGCTGACCCCCCTTACGTACGCCTACAAGGTGCAGATACTTGAAGAGCAACACGAGAAGAGTCACGAGAAAGGAATGGCTGCATTGAAAGACAAAGTTAAATGGAGCGGTAGCTTTATGGATGTCCAGTGCAGCATCATGAGGTTTGTGGCCCTCGTTAACATGAACAAAACTGACCACGTCTTGTTGTAGCTGCGATCACCTTGCATTCTCAAAATCTATTATTCGTCGCTTTATCCGTGACTGTGTTGATCGTGATGCTGCTGTCGCTTCGCCATGGACGGTAAAACCGGTTATTGCGAAGCACTATGGTGTCGACTCTGTGATGCCAGAGGAAACACGGAAAGATATGGGAGGACAAGGAAGGACCACCAACCAAGAAGCAGAAGAAGATGACTGCTGCTCAGGAGGAAAGAGGTAACATTGCGCTATGTTGGATAATACTTGGTGCTGATTACTGTAACAATGAAAGTCTTGGCTGTTGCAGCTGAAAAGCGTGAGCGCGAAGCTCGTGAAAAGGCAGAGCGTCAACAAAAGGCAAAACAAGAGGCTGAGCGTCTGGCTGCAGAGAAGAAGAAGAAGAAACCCATT